CTACTCGTAATGATTCCTTTTCTTAATCCCTAAAGAGTACTTCATCGAAAAGAAATAGTATAGAACTGATCATTTCCCAACTATATTTTGAACTGGATATATTTAAGATCATTATCTATGAAATCTCATGAGATTTGAAAGTATATGAACACGGACGCCCCAGCGGCACGGCAGCTGTGCCTTCTTCTGCATTTCTCTTGTTTATTTTGCCGATGGCATCGCGGAGCCACAACCATACAATTTTCTATCACTTGGCTCCTACTTGTTAATCGTGTAGTTCATTGTGACCACACTTTTACCCTTATTTATTTCTGTTCATCAGGATTGTGACAACATATTTTAGTCTGTAACCAACTAAATTAGCGGGCAATTTACTAGTAGCATACTATATGCAGGTCAATGAATAAGCCAAGATCTGGATGTCAATAGCATGCATCCCCCTTCTCCTATCTTGCTATGGACCAATAGCAAGTCGTTACCTGTCCTGTTTCTAGAAGGAGTCAATTAGAAAATGCCACTGGTTTTTCTCTCGGTCCTCATAGTGTTTGTAAATAGTTAAGTTCCAAGAGGAGGACGTGGGGAGTAACCACTCCATATATAAAAAAAGGTGGAGAACTGGAGATGTATAGTTCTGAATTTTTGGAGATGGGTAAAAGTCAGAGCTCAGCTAAGCAGGTCTTATTCAGCAACAGCACAATAAACTATCTCATCCTTATGTGAGTACGTGTTTCCTTCTCTCTGAATTCATTGACCACGTACTAGTATTTATGATCCATCCATCCATCCATCTATCTATCTATCTATCTATCTATCTATCTATCTATCTATCTATTTATCTATCAAATTTATGATCTACTATCAATCTATCCTGGCTATAGTATATTCATGGTGCATTGCCATCAGCATTTTCACTTGCAATTTTACTACCAAAAAAAAAAGCACATTTACTGCTTCAGGCTTGCAGTGCCACTTGATGCATCAACTGGCTGCTATCATCGTGATGCATTCATCAACTGGCCGCTATCATCGTGATGCACATAACGTCTGTACTGCCAATCTCTACAAAAATATCCCCAGTGGCCGGGCAATGCATCCGCCCAGTTGCCACGCGCCCCTTTTAACTAAGACCCCTATTGGAGGCAAAGCACAGTACATCACTGGTGAGATCATTTTCCGGGTCCTAAATTAGGCGAAAAGCGGGAGATTCCTTGCTGCCTCAACTTGTCCTGCAGCATGTGCAGGTCTTTAAAAAAACCATCGATATGCGTTAGGTATCAGCTAATCTCCCTCCCCAAGCAACGAGACGATTCCTGCCTCTGGCTTTGTGAGGCAAAGGAAAGAATCAGGTCAAGTCCAACTAGTTTATAATTAATCAATTATCTAAGCAATCACCAACGCACCGGGGCAGGCTTCCATTCTGGCCAAGATTTGTGAACTGGTCCGGCCGATTATATAATCAATTTGCCCGAGTTCCAATCAAAGCAATTAATTAACCATTTAATCGCCCCAAGTTGCTAGATCGATGACAGTGCTTAGTCCTTAAAAAAACGGGGTGACACATCATTTTGAGGCCACTTGTAGCTCCTATGTGTGTCCGGGGCCTTTGAAGAAGCTGCAAAGAAATTTCTCAAGTCGCCCCGTCGGTGCGCGGGAGCACGTGACAGCGATACGGGGAGAGGAGAAGATAATCTTTGCATCGTTTTTGGTCTTCAGCTTAGAGAGCGGTGGTGGTTTTTATATGGTGATAAGGGCCTCAATTATGGAGCTCTTTGATGTTTTAAGCTAAAAAGGGGTGCCCTAGTTTGGTACGCTTCTGAATTAAGGCTCCCTTGGCCTTCAGTTTCAGGCTCACCCTAGCATTTCTCTCTCCGGGTGTGTCTCTCTCTTTCTTTCTCTCTGGAAACAATGTCTCCTGTGCCGAGTCCGCATCAATCACACCATCTAGGCCATGGCTCAAGGTAGCTAAAAACTATTACTGGTCTTTTGGTTTTTGATCTTTATAAGAGAGTGGTGATGATAGTGCAGGGGGGATTCAATTGGAGTAGAAGTTGATATGTTTCTGAAAAAAACTTGCAGGAAAGAGAAGCGCATGAGGAAGGTGGATACCTTTGCGCCGCACAACGACGGCCACCAGTGGAGGAAGTACGGCGAGAAGAAGATAAACAACTGTAATTTCCCCAGGTTCGGATGAAAGATGATATATTTGCAGTATATTTCCTCATTTCTGGTATCTGCATCTGTATATCTTCTGGAAAGAGTGGGCATCTGTTCATTCTTGTCAACCTTGTCCTCTCCTGCAAACAATAAGAAATTTATCAGTTAGACACCTTTCTGTGATGATACTTAGATGCTCTTCTCATTCTACCCACCCAAATCGACCACAAAGAGATGTGTTGCAACAAATAGTCGTAGAAAACTGAACCCTTTTCTTGTTCATTTCACTCAAACTGTTGTCTCGCCTGTCTCATTGCAGATACTACTACAGATGCACCTATAAAGATAACATGAATTGCCCAGCAACGAAGCAGATTCAGCAGAAAGATTATAGTGATCCACCATTGTACTCAGTCACCTACTACAATGAGCATACATGTAATAGTGCTTTTCTTCCTCTTAGCCCCTCAGAGTTCCAGCTGCAGACTGCATCTGGGAAGGCAGTCTCCATCTGCTTTGAATCATCTGGGGCTCAAGAACCAATGACCAATGCCAGCTCACCTTCTTCAAGCGCAGCACGGCGTAGCACACCTTCAGAGAACAAGAATCAGCCTCTTCCACGGCATTCGGAAGCCTATTCTTGGGGGGTTGGTGTTGTAGAACAAAAGCCGTCCTGCACTGAGCTCCAATCTTGCAGCACCGAATGTCAGGATGCATTTTCAGCTGGTACGATTCCTGAAGAGACAGTAGATGCAGGAAGATTTGGTTCTATCAGATTCTTCCATTTTTTGTAAATGAATTAATGGAAGACAGTTTATTTTATTTCAAAGAGCTAATATGATACACATGTTTTTTCCTCTACACCCTCAAAGAGTATGAGAGGTTTTCCTTGCATGTCACCATGAATTTCTTAGTTGAATTGAAATACCAGTGCTAATTTACATTCCAGAGTCCATTCCTGCAAATTCTCTCATTATTTACACAGAGACAATATCATAAATGTACCTTCAGAAGCAATGACTGAGATGTCCTCTAGGATGATGAAGAAGGAAACAACATTGGACAGATCTCTCAAACCATCATAGATATCTGCAGAATGGCCCCAAATAAGCTTGCCAAGATATTTATGGTATGAAGAATATAATATTAATAGCTTCTTTGAAGACAAATTCAATGCCTTTTTCGGAGTAACTTGGATTTTTAAGTGTAGGTCCCAATTTAGCTTGAGACCATGTATGCTCCATTCATTAACAAAATACAAGCTGCCTTCAACATGCCAGAGAAAACTACATTTCTCCAATTTCCAAGACAATATATTGTACTCCCTCCGTTTCAATTTACTTGTCCTTCTAGCAAATCTCACATTAAACTAGAAGACGTGTCAAATTACATTGCTACTTTCATTAATTACATCCTAATCATCTTTCCGAAAGCAAACATTGAATTTCTTATGAGAGTACTAGTACTAGTAAGGTTATATTTATGAGAGTAAGAATGGAAAGACATCTCTAAAAGTGCTTTGGAATGTGAGAATGACAAGTATTCGACACAAATTTTAAATGCTAGAACGACGAGTAATTTGAACGGAAACAGATAAGTTGACGAACGCCAATAAGTCTGTGTTTATAGATGAAATGGGTGTAAACGTACACATGACTTACGCTCATGGTTCTTTTCTTTGTTTGACCTTCAAGTATTCCAAAGCAAATAAGGCTTTGTCCAAATGCCTTCGATCTCACGAAAACAGACCAAAAGAGGGGCAAGGTATCAAATGAGAGACAAAGCTTACAGCATCATTTATTCTTCATTTATGCTCCAAAATGGAGGTCACCTTCATTCGCAATGAACAAAACCAGACGAAAATTTCCTAATGTCATTTCCAGACTTGACGGCAAGACGTTCTGAAGAACTCTAAGTTCAGTATACATAGTAAAACAATCAGGATTGCTTATCTGCAGCTAAGCAAACCATGTCGGCGCACTCGGATTCATCCTTGAATTCCACATCGCTGAAGCAGAATGTTCTTGCTAAGCTCTGCACGAGCTGATCATGGATCACCTCGTCGGGAGGGAGCTCCACCGCCGCCTCTCGCCGCAGAGAGGTGACCTCCTTGTCGGCGATACCGCAGGGCACAATGTGCTCGAAGAAACCCAAATCAGGATCGATGTTGAAGGCCAGACCATGGCAAGTAAACCCTGACGAGATCCTGACCCCGATGGCGCCAATCTTCCTGTCCCCGACCCACACGCCGGTCTCGCCGGCGGCACCCGGGCACGCCTGGACGCCGTACAGCGCCGCCACCTCGATCATGGCGGACTCGAGCCCCTCCACGTACCTCCGCGCGCCGAGGCCGATGGCCCGGAGCGAGAGGATCGGGTAGAGCACGGCCTGCCGCGGCCCGTGGAAGGTGACGTCGCCGCCGCGCTCCGTGCGGTGGATGTCGGCGCCGAGCGCCCTGAGGTCGGCCTCCGGCAGGAGCAGGTTGTGGTCGGTGCGCCGCTTGCCGAGGGTGTAGGTCGGCGGGTGCTGCAGCGACAGCACGAGGTCGGGGACCCGGCCGGCCCTCCGGTCGGTGACGAGCCTCTCCTGGAGCCCGAGGGCGTCGCCGTACCTCACCACCCCGAGCCTCCACGCCTCGAGCACCCTCCTCGCGCCGCCGCTCATCTCCTCCGCAGCCGCGAGGAGAAGAGGACACGGCGGCGGGCTGCCTCCTCCGGCTACCGTCAGAGACTGGACAGGATGAAGCGAAACTAAACTTGCGAGGTAAATAAATGGGCCACAAGTCTCTCGGCCCACGGCCTGAAAAGGAGAAGGAAAAGAAACCTAACCCACCTCGACCTGAACCCGATCGCGCCGCCGCTCGCCTGAACCCGCCGCCGCTCGCTGCACCCCAGTGCACTCACCACGCACGCCGGAAGTTCCCTTACCAGACCGGGCGATGGCGGCGGCGGCGGCGGAGTTTATGGAGCTCGCGCTCGAGCAGGTATGGCTGAAATCTCCAGCTTGATTTGCTGGGAAGAACACGTTTTACGCTGCTACGGTGTTTCTGGCGCTGAATTCTGGATCGTTTTTGCAGGCCAAGTTTGCGTTGGACAACCTTGAGGTCCCTGTAGGGTATACCCCTGCTTCGTTTCATACATAGGAGTTCATCCTTGGTTCTTGCTGTGCTAACTGCTAGTAACTCCTAACTGCTGCTGGCTCTACTTTTTTTTGTTATTCTGTCTTGGTAGATGTGTGATTGTGGAGGATGGGAAGGTGATTTCATCCGGTAGCAACAAGACAAATGCCACCCGGAATGTATGCATGCTCTTACATCTTCGGTTAGGAATATTTTTGCTCTTAGATTATTATTATTATTATTATTATTATTATTATTATTATTATTATTATTATTATTATTATTATTATTATTATTATTATTATTATTATTATTATTATTATTATTATTATTATTATTATTATTATTATTATTATTATTATTATTATTATTATTATTATTATTATTATTATTATTTCTTTTGAACGAACCAGCATTAAACATGCCAATTTCATTAAATAGAGCAGGAGTAAAAATTTTGTACAGGTGTAAAAGAAAACCTGTAATTGATACCAACTGCATTTACATGTAAAAGATTTTTTTTTGCTCTTAGATTAAAGCTGTAATTTGATTGTGCCTGTACCGATTCTAAGGCTACAAGGCATGCTGAGATGGAAGCAATTGATATCCTGCTTAGGGAGTGGCAGGGCATGGGACTTGATCAGCCACAGGTCGCGGAGAAGTTTGCAAGATGCGACCTTTATGTCACATGTGAGCCTTGCATAATGTGCGCAATGGCGTTGTCGATACTTGGTCTGAGATGTTTTATCTTTATTGTGTTAAAAATATGTAAGAGCATATGGATTTATGCTTTTTAACATGTTCATTCTTTTGACAGGAATAAGGGAGGTGTACTTTGGTTGTGCTAACGATAAATTTGGAGGATGTGGATCAATCATGTCATTGCATCAGAGTTCTTCTGCTGAACTGTCAGGGTGAGGGAGCAATGCAACAAGCAGCAGAAAGCTGTTTACTCATGATAACATGTTGCTTTTAGTGCTTCATTAGTTGCCCATTACCCTAACATTTCAATTCAATATCATGATTTTTGCAAACTTGCACATGCTTAATATTTTCATTTTCTTGCACGTACAACATAGTTATTGAGTTCTTTACATCATTAATCCTGAACTCTGTTAGTTGTTTATTGAGTTCTTTACATCATTAATTCTGAACTCTGTTAGTTGTTTATGGCACTCCAACTTCAAACTGTTTGTCTCTTGCTAGGGAGGAAATTCCCGGGCCAAAAGGTTACAAATGTACTGGTGGGATCATGGCGGAGGAGGCAGTGGCTCTTTTTAGAAATTTCTACGAGCAAGGGAATCCAAATGGTATGTTCTTTTCCCTGTATTTCTTCTTCTCCATTGTCTAGAATTATTGCTTCTGCATAGAATTCTCATGTAGGTTCTATGGTAGAATATGCTCTCTTTTTTTCTGGTCCATGAGATATTTGCAAGTACATGCACCCAAAGTGTTAATCAAGAGTTAGAATACCTCTATCTCCCAATTAGCACTTAAAATAACTCCTCTCTCCTAAGGACCAGAGGAAAAACTCTGTTCTTCACACTGCATTTACATGTGAAGAACAGTTGGTATCTTAAGATATTTGCTTGGAATACTTGTGCAATCAATATGATATCATTTTAAAGTCACCCCGTTGTTACCACAAATTATAGTGTAAGATTGAGAATCATTTACTGATCTTGTGGGATCAATAAAGTGGATTGGCCTCGGATCATTGGTCCAATCATTCATTTTAATCCTCTGCGTTGTGAAGAAATTTGACATTTTCTCGCTTGCACACATTTCAGCGCCAAAGCCTCACAGACCTGTCCGTATAGCTCCCCAGTGACTGGTTTCTTTAGTTACTCTACAAGCATGATGAGGAAGATCTCAGGAAGGCAGATCTATAGATTGGATGGAGATCCTAATTTAAGGCCCATCACATGATTTAGAGTTGAGCATTGCTGTTACTAAACAGCCTTATGTATTCTGAAATAGCTGCCACATGCGTTCATGTGATTGTTATTATTATTTGCAGCCAGGTATCCTACAGGCTTGATGATTCTGGGAGATTTCCACAGTTTACAAGCCTGTGTTTCAAGCCATATATGCAATTGTTGTAGGCCTTAACTGTAGCCTTCAAAACAACATTGGTTTGTGATTTTTTTTTTGAAGCCTAAGCCAGCTTCTGCTGGTTTTATATTAAGAGAGAGAAAGACTGTAGAAATGGTTTGTGATATACGTGCATGTATGGTCCAATGCCACCATGTGTTTTTTTTCCCTGAAAAATATCGCACTACCATTTTGTTGATCGATCTCCAAAACACCTCGTATGTTTATTTTTATTGGTTCTGACAAATGAACAACGCATCCTCTTGGTTTTGATTGGTGAGTATATTTGTATTGGATTGATTTCTAATTTTGTTGCTGTAGTGATATTACGTAGAAATCTCATAAAAAACAAAAAAATAAAAACAGTAAAACAAATGTATACTCCCTCCATCCCATAAAAAACAAACCAGTGAACCTGTCCAGATTGATGGGTCACATCCCGTACTAAATTTGATTGAATTTTGTCTAAATACTGTCTAGCTGATATAGATAGTCACATTACAGAAAAATCTAGATAAATGAACTCACTCTTACACCTATAATTCATCTACCCTATAATTTATCAACTCACTCTTACACCTACATTACTCATTCATCAAATCCAGCTGACAGTATTCCTCAGTGCCCGATCTAACGATCATCGCGTCCACCTCAGTAGTGTACAGCCGAGGCTGCCGTAATCGCGTGATTTCTTTCCCATCAACGCGCGCGCCTCACTCCCGAAATCCTGCCACCATCTCAATCTGTCGATCCCCTTCCTCGAATTTCGGAATCCTGAAGCGCGAGCAGTCGGCTTCCGCACCTGGTGCCAACGGCCTCGTCGATCACCTGATCTCTTCACTCGTGCGCGGTCGACGTTCTCGCACGCCTGCGAGGTCTTCTACTGCTGAGGAAGCGTCCGTAGACCGCTACCGAGAGGATCCGGCTGCTCTGTCGCCGAGGATGCGTCCCCGGCCCCGGGTCCCTCTGCCGCCAGCGCCAGGGCCACATCCCGTTCTAGCGGTTGGCGATCCTTGCCTCTTTGCCATGGCATGAGAGCTCTGCAGCGATGGCCACGGCATGAGAGGGGCCCTACCGTTTAGCTGCTGCCCTCCTGGCTGGGCCGTCCACAGCTTCTCTTCGCCCATTAATTGTGACGCTGCGCCTGTTTATCTCCTCCCTCTTGATCACTCACGGTCGAGAAAGGCTGTGGCGAAGTGGGCGGTGGATAACCTTGGAAGGCTAGCGACCGGGTAATCCTGATACATTATGCATGTCCTTCCCAAAGGAGCTCTGCTGCCAAGCACCATAATCTCTACAAGAGCACAGGCTCATATATGCAGGGAAATATCCTTTTTTTCAGTTATTTCAGAAAGGTTAATAGGTTTGTAGCGGATCTATCGTTGCTTTCTGACTTACTGTTTCTCTGAACACTGAAACTTTGGTTCCTCTGCTGGATTTCATGTAGATGAACGTGCAGGAAAGGTATTGGATCAACCCCGATAAGATGGTACTGGAGATCCTGCATGCTGAATCCAGGTCCAAGCAGGAAATGGCTCTGCTGCTTTGCCAAAACTTCATCACTATTTAAGCTCTCCACTCTAGATGTTCAGGGTTCTGCAGATATCTAGGCTGGAAAGCGAAGAATATATAGTACAATCCTAACATGCTACATTGTGTTAAAAACAAGAACTACATCTGTAGAATTGAATTGTATAGCAGAATTTACATAAATTATCATCTTAGTTCAAACTAAATATTAATACGAAGGGATATCGTCCAAACTTATAAAATGTTCATTATAGTAACGCCTGATTTTCAGTACGACTTGCCTGAACCTCACACTAACTGATCAAAATGTGCATTCATGACTAAACAAAGAAGAGGCTGCTCTCTGTTGCTCAGTCATTCAACAAAGAGGTCGGCTGATCAAGAGTTGTCTTATTGCAACCAGCCAATCTTATAGATATTCTCTTATCGTTTTATGCATATGTATGGCACAAAGTTATTTAGTGAGGTGAAGTCTGATCCTAAAAATTGGGGTAGATAGTTTTTAGATGAGTTGATGTCACTATATCATATAATTTGAAACCATAATTGAATGTAATATTTTAATCCGTAATTGTCCCTGTATGCTCTTTTTGTTTGATAATTTGAGAAGTCAGATTCCTTGGGTGTGCGCAAACGCGCCTCATAATCTAATGTTGAGCAGTATTCATGTTAATCAATATATAATAGGCTGCTTGGGCTCATATGTTCACACTTTTGGCTAGCAGCTACAAGGTTGCTTCTATCACTTTGTCCGCTGTGGATAATATCACGAGTAAAGCAGCACCATCAATGCCCAGTACAAGCCTACAAGGTAATTTTATCGTCAATACAAGTGTCAGAAACCATATAATGCTCACCAATTTGTGGTTTATCCTTTTAGACAAACTGACGTTTTGGTTTCTTACCGCATAAATGGAGCAGACCAATGTCCTCTGCAAATTTTATTCACAATCTGCCTATTCTATATAATTCTATATCCACTGTTCATTCATTCTTCTTACTGCACAATAATCATTTTGTACAAATAAATATGTAGTAGCTTTTTGATGTTCCTGCAATATTTGAATAGATGAGTGTAAAGGAATATGTTTATTCTTTGCAGCAGGCAGCTAACCACTGTTACATCTTGATTAGTAAAAAAATATTGCTTTATTTGCATTTCGCATTTTTTGAAACCCCTATGAGCCATTTATTAGGTTTTTGGGCAGCACATGCTTTTCATGTTAGATTTCAGAGCAAAATAGATGGAATGCTACAGGTTGGAAAATAAATATCAATGCCCTCAGCTAAGGTCACCAATGTTGGCATCAATTGAAGCTGCCTAACAAATAAGAAAAACTTTGTAGTGCAAACCCTATATATAATGTAAACCTGAAAACTACCGTAGAATTAAAAATTGAATGTTTGGTTCACGTCACCCTGAGTAAACTTTTGCTCCCAGTTTTAACCATGAGCAAAGGTTTTATTAGGATTAAAAGTTTTACTCAGGATGAACTGGATACATCTCAGATGTTCATTTTTGATCCTACGATAGTTTCCCGCTTTGCATTACATATAAGGTTTGTAATACATATTTTTGCAACAAATAATGTGTTGTATTTCACAACAGTTATGTATTGGTCTATTGTGACATAATTCTAGCAACTTTAATGATTTCTTCTGCTGCGGTGTAACCTGTAAATATTTTTCTTCTTCTCAGCCAAATGTTATTCCATTAGAGGATTTAATTTGTTTATTCAAATATCTTAAATACAATTTTTTTTCATCATATACTCTGATACAAATGACGATTATTGATGAAGCAATAGAAAAACATTAAGTGATGTTTGTTTATGGCTAAAGAAATTGCTCCCACTTGATTGAGAATTGAACTACACAACTAAAAGCTGCCCAAGTTTGTGATAGTTATAATAATAATTAAATTAGCATGGATGTTGACATATATAAATTTTTTATGCATGCTTACTAAATATCACCGTAGCGTTAGCACTGACCTGCTACTAGTTTCGTAAGGATGACGAGGATATGGTGCACTATTAAACTGGGTACTTACAAAATGTGCGAGGATATGATGAACCATTGCACTGGATACTCAAGAAAATGACGTGCAAAGTACCCAGGTGACCTGATCTGCCGATCAATCAAAATTTGTATGTGCAGCACCAGTAACATAAACATTGTCGAGGTGTTTGTATTCCCAAAAAAGAAAGGTGGCAATTAACATAATAGAGGACTAGATTTGACATAGCTATGATCGGAGGTGCCTCTGAGCATGTCATCCGTCGAGTACTCGTGTCTCTTACTAGATAATGCAACACATATTGCATTGGTATACAAGAAATCTAGAAAGCAGCAAACGCCCTATTCGGTATTCCATATTCACAAGTAAATGATCTCCTGTGTAAAATGGGGGGAAAGTAAAGCTGTTTGAAAAATGCAAGATTCTACAGCTACTTCTATGCAAATTTACTCCGATTCGAACAGCTTCGATGGCCGAGGGCTGCAGATGATGTCAGATGGCCTGCCGATACTGTCACGTAGTATCGAAATCTCACCCTCTTTAAGCAGTATTTCACCCTCCTTAAGCAGTATGTCTTCATCAAGAGATTTCATCTTCTGCTTTAATGAAGCAACATCATTTTGCAAGGCGCTGATAGTTTTTCGCAGCTGCTTCGTTTCCTGCCACAAGACATCCCTTTCATCACTTACTGTTTTGAGTGTGCACCGAAGAGCAGTCAATTCCTTCGAAGATTCCTGAAAATCCTGTTGGATCTGATTAATGTTCTCCTCTTTCTTCAAAACCTACAAGGTGCAGTACAAAAGGAATTGGAACAAGAAAAACTGCAAACAATTTAAGGGCAATGTAGCTTGCAGAATTTGATCGTTTCCCCTCAGAAGGAACTGACAGTGATATAGAAACAGAAAAAGTTATATTGCTTAGATGGGATTGGTTTCTGATCTAGGTAAGCCTCAGCAACAGTCTAAAACTCCTTTTGGGTGGGGGGAAGGATGTTAAGATTACCTGCATTTCCAAATGTTTGGACTTGTGAGTGAGGCAACATAGTTCATCCTGAACCCTTTGGATTTCATTTTGCATGACATCTTGGATGCGAACTGAAGATGCTAGATCTGACTGCAATTGTTCAATGTCTCGTTCTCTTGACAATAACTTCTCCTTTAGTACTCTACAGAGCATAGACTCTTCTTTCAACTTAAATTCAATGTCATCCTGCATAGAAAAGGGCAAAAAGGAAAGCGGAGGTTTAGATTTAGCTTCTGAGACTTGTCTCTGTACTAGTAGAGTTTACCAGATATATTTTGAGAACATTGTCTCTGTACCAAATTTCACTGTATATGTTTGAAAAAAGTGTTTTTTTGTGCTCTACAGAACAAAGTCTTAAGCCAACAACCACCGGCCCATAAGACTGAAAAATAAATAGGATACTTCCAAATGTAAAAAGGCCCTAGGAACTTCATACCTTGGATAAGTGGTCCTGTTTCAAGATACAGCTTTCAGTTCTCTCTCCAATCTTTTCTTCTTCATTATGCTTTTCAGTCAACATAGATCTGATTGCCCGAAGACATTGTTTTAAATTCTTGATTCTTTCTTGTATGCTCTGGTAACTCAAAGTGTATTCAATGGATGCTAATGCATCAACACTTCCGAAACTCTCACTCCTCTTAGATTTCATTGAGTCCAACAACTTGGCACAAAGCTGACTAGTATCATCAAGCAACGATAAGCCCTGTAGTTGCAAGTTGTCCACTCTGGTGTTGAGCTCCTGTTCAAGACGAACTGAAGAAATACTTAATTTGTTATCACTGCTTTGTAGACGATTTAAAACAGCTATATTCTCTTCCCTTAGAGACTCAACTTCACGGTTACAGGACTGAATTTCTCTTCTCAGCTTTTGTTCCACTCCAGTAAGTCTGATAAGTTCCATTTGCATCCTGCTGATGCTTTCACTAGTACCAAGGGATTTGTTTTCCAGTTCAGCATTGAATCCCTGTCTCAGGCCAGTTATTGTTTTCTCCTGTTCATTAGATATCCTCTGCAACCTTGCAATCACTTTGTGTAATGCTTTATTGTCACCTCCCTTCTCTTTTAAGCATTCCAGGATTTGGTTCCTTTCCTCTGCAGTTTTCGTTAAATTATCATTCAACTCAACCGATGACTTCAAAAGAGTATCATGCTCTTTCTTTACTTTCTGTAGCTCGTCATTGAGCTGTTTGTTTTGCAGTTCTAAACTTGTTATCTTATTAGAAACATCAATTCTGTTCGATTCAAGTAAAGTAACTTCTCTTTGAAAAGATACATTCTGCTCTGCAAGCTCTCTTACTCTTTCCCGTAATCGCTGTTCTTCTGATTGGAATTCTGCCAGTTTGACTGACCAATCATTTGACCTTCTATCAAGCTCCATTTCCAAGGTACTTTGCACATCACTCTTCTCCTTCTCCAGCCTTCTAGTTCTGGTGTTCAATTCTACCTTGGACCGCTTATGTTGCTCTTTGGCTGCAAATCTCTCTGTAAGACGTGCCTTAATTTGTGAAGACAATTGGAGTGCCAATTGCCTTCTATCTTCAATCAAAGTCTGTATCAGCTGCAACATGTCAGTTGAGCTTAAACTATTATCCCTCAGCATGTTAAGCTCATTATTTTCTTCAAGAGGAACCATGAAGCACTCATCAAGTTCTTTAGCTCTTCTAAGCAACTTCTCATCAGTGTCTTGTTCAAGGTTATTACCATGAAAACCATGAGAGTCATCACGACAACAGACATCTGCATCAAAGCATCTTGAGGTAGTGCCTGAAATATAATCCATTGAAGTGTCACAAAAGCATGGAGGTTGTGCATCTTCCAAACGATCATAAATATCTTCCAATGTAGCAATACTTTGTGATTTGCACTCCTCTATATGTGAAAATTTTTCAGAAGATGCTTCAAGCATTTGTGCATCATCTCCAGGCTCTGCACACACAGATGCAACCTTCCATATGCCCTTTGTTTCCTCCTGAGCTAATTGGCAGGCATCAATCATGTCGATGTTTGAGTAGCTATAGCTCTCAACGATTTCTTTGCAAGACTTTGGTGAAGATGGAGCTGTAGAATGGGGTCTAGGTGGCCGTCCCCGTCCCAAATAAGATGATGAGGATCTGACAGGTAATTTTAGCTTATGTTTCTCATTTAGACTGTTTGACTCTTGCTCTCCATCAATATATAGATCTAGAACTTCATTCTTGCTTGAAAGATTGGTCAATTTAGAAGGCCTGCATTTTAACACAACAGGAGAACTAACAGGAGAGTGTCCTGCTGAGCATGAGTAGCATCTTGACTGAGGTGAATCACTTTCCTGTACCCCATGTGTTTTTGGAACCTCTATCGTGTATTCTCCCATATTGGTGTGTCTTTCTTGTGACCAGGGATAGTACCTGCAGACAGAAAGATTGTAACCTTTTATTTCTACCATCCTTCAGTCATCATGCTAAATAGAATACCATGCATGATAATAGTAAGTTTAAAAGGAAAATCTCCAGCATCACAGTTATGATAAACAATTAGGACAAACAGAAACATAATTAAATGGGGCTAAACATGGCTAAAGGTTACATCTGCTCAAGATAATATGCAAAGAGTTCATTGCTGACTGAAAGCTGAATAAGTTTTCAAAAACAGTTCATTGTTAACTGAAAGTTGAATAAGTTTTCATAAGTGGTTTGTTAGTAACACAATGGGCATGAGCTAGAAATAAAAAATCTAGTAACAGATAGTGAGTCTATAATGCACCACCAAACTTTGTGCTTGGTTTTAGCTCTGTCAAACCAATTAAAATGTAAAACTACCACTTACTTGGGAAAAAACAGATTGTTTGGAATTTTCCAAATAGGGGATGACACAGTGTTCAGTTATTATTATTAATTATTGATGTTGCTGAAGCATAAGTTACAGACAGTGGGAACCTCAAGCACAAGTAAATTTTATCTTTAATCCACTTACTCCGCATCCCCAATGTGTCGAGGCACATCAGAACTATTGGAGAAAGAGCATGGAATATCGCCTGAAAAGTTCATTGTCCGTTCATTCAAGGAACGATCAATTGCTGACGACGTCAATGACATGCACCTCCTGAGCTGAGGAGTGGATGATTCCTCACTGCTTGGTTTTCCATGCCGGCTTCTTGACCTGAATGCCCGTGTGTCAGGAGAATGGGAGGCACAGCTAGTCCCTCCATCCAGTTTGTTCTCATTCTTCTTATCATGTCCCGCTGATGCTTTGCCATTCCCAGCATTACTTGTGAATGAGCGGAACGGAAAGAACCTTCTCATCTTCAGGAGCGTCTAATACTCTTCTGCACGGAGAAAACATCAGGGTAAGCGCAAAGTAACCCTAAAATGTGTGCAACTGTTCTAGATCAAAAGTAAAAATTATTCAAATAATAGTGCAAGCTTTGGATCAATAGCTGTTCCAAGTAGTTGCATTGCTGCAGGCTGAGACACTGAGCAGTTGGTGTACAACTAAACGCAACTGCTAACTAATATGCATTAGAATTTCTAAGTAGCAAATCCATCAGAAAGTAAATGTATCACAAGTCTTTTTTTATAGACAATATGGAGGAGTCAAAAAAAAAAGGACCACAAATGCTTCGGCACGAACCGCTTGGCACACACAAAATTCGGCGTGGCGATTTCCCAGTAGAACGTGCCCGCGTCCCTTGGTTTGGTTGCTCCAGCCGTGGCGGTGGCGCTGCTGCCCGTGGAGATGGGATATTGGGATCCCGCGGCGTCTTTGGCTTGCTTGCCGCTACCAGCGGCGAGGCGGATGGGACTGTGAGATCGGAGGACAGAGGCGGCGGAACAGGTGCTCCTGCGAGGGAAAGGAGTATTTCGGTCAGGAAATCGGTCGAACAGGTGACGGACTAACCCTGAGCACGCACCAAGAAATCCAGATAATTTTCCCACAACCAAAAGATGACAAAAAAAATCGAAAAAAACGAACGAATCTACGAGAATTCGAGACCGACGAGACTCATCAAGTGAAACCATGCATAACATCGCCTGCAAAAGAAACCAAGTTCGGACGGCTAGTAGAAACCAAGACTAACCTGATGATCTTCTTCCTCCTCGAAGAGAGCGCAGAGCAGCAGCAGCAGCAGCAGACGAGAGGAGTCGGCGCGGATCAACCAGTATCCTATGATTGGGGGGGGGGGGGGGGGGTCTCAATAACTCCCACTCGCAATCGCCGATTTTCGAAGAGGGGATCGGCGGATATCTGGGGACACGGAGGGGATTTCAAACCGGAGCGGGGGAGCGGCCGGGGGGAGACGACGGATGTGGGTGGCAGTGTGGAGGGAAATCGTGGGGTCGGCGGCGCCGGCGGTGGCCAAAATCCAAAGTTGGGGATATGGCCGTTGGTCTCTGTGGAGCCTGCGATTTGGGGGTTTCAAACGGGCAAGTCCATCACCCCCGTTCGTTTGGATTTTGGGACAGATCGACCGACAAAATCACAAAATACTCCATAATAAACGAAAGGGGCAGCAAAAATATTCCATTTGTTTTCCTTTTTCTTTACAGAAAACCTGCTTGTTTTTTTTCATATTGGATTTTAAAACGAATGTAGTTGTTTTTCAATTTCTGGAAGTTGTAAGTGAAAACTTTTGTAACAAAAGTATAATTTGAAAATCGTTTAAGGCTCAAAATGGAATTTACAACTACTAGCTGAATGCACGTACTTTAGTACAGATAGAAAAATATATATATTATAACATTATCTGAAATTCATAAGAATATATATATATATATATATATATATATATATATATATATATATATATATATATTTCATGAGATGTGACCCATCCTTGTTTTACTATAGAGAATATTCATATCAATATTAGAAAGTTCAAGGGGGTATTTGTAAGGTGAGGTGTCGAATTCACTAATTCAAGTTTCTTTTAAAGCAGAGTAAGTATATATATATATATATATATATATATATATATATATATATATATATATATATTCAAGATTCAACAATTTAAACCAGAAAAAAGTCTGAATTAGCCCCCTGATTTGAATTACCCCTCAAACCCGAAATCCAGACATATTTCACCCTCAACTATCAATACTAGATGAATTACCCTTCTTAACCCAATCCGAAGCGGTTTTGACCTGTGGTATACATGTGACGCCTACGTGACAGTCCAATCGAAAAAAAAAGATTAAAAAAACATGTCCCACTTGTCATATACCTCACACATCTCTCTCTCGGTTGTTTGCTAGGGGCGAGGCAGGTATCGTTGAGGGGCGTCGAGTGCAGCGGCGGTCGAGAGGGCACTGTGGCGCGAGGGGAAGAAGGGGAGCAAGTTGCTAGACAAGAGCTGGGCGGCGGCGGCGATGAACCTTGAGGGCAGTGTTGTAGATGAAGGCGGTGGGACAACTGTCGAACTCATCCATTCGGGAGAACGCTTGGATGGCCTCGGCGTGACGGTCGACAGAGGATTGCGTGGCAACGAGTGCCGCGAAAGTGTGAGAAAGGCCAGGAGGCTAGCGCGAGGGTGTTGAACATGAGCTCATTAGCATGGGAAGAGAAGAGTAGGAGGAGTGATACACGTAGGTGTGGAGTAGGAGTGAGCGGAGGTGACGGGGATGGCGTTGCAGAGGAGGGCATCCGAGACGGCGTGCAGGGTGAGGGTGGAGCTAAAGCGCATACGTTTTCTTGCTGGGTCGGTTTGTTTTTTGGGGCAATAAGCTTGCTTCTTCACAAGCTTATCCCCGCCCCTTTCCTGTCCATCCCGACCGGCAGCAGTTGGGTTTCCCCATCTCTCCTCAGCTTTCCCGGTCTTGCTATAAAGCGGAGCAAAGCGCATGGCGCTAAAAGTTAAGAAAGCTCAAAAACACACACGGACACGATGCAGGGCATAGCGAGAGGAGGAAAAGAAATGGGAGCAGTGCACGAAGCAACGACGGGAGTGTGGAGAGGAGCACGTGGATGGTGTCGACGATGTCGAGCTTGATGGCTAGAGAGTGGGGATCAACGCACCTATGCAACGCAACCCTCTTTCTCGCCTCCTCCCCCGTCGCGACGTGCACCGACGCCGCCACGCGCCTCATCGAGCTCCATAACCAAATCTACTTCGATCGTGTCATCTCCGCCACCACCGATGCCGCCGTACACCTTGTCCTTCCCATGGAGAGCCCACCTTACCTCAGCTGCCTACAACATCGCGCTCGGCGGTTGCGTCTCCTCCGGAGGTTTCTGGTGTCATCGCCTGCCAAGGTCGAGAATAGGGAAGAAAGAAAGAAGAGGTGGCAGCTGAGGCCTGCCGGCTGCCTCACCGCCGTCAATGCCACAATTAGGGACATTTAAACGGGAAAAAGGGAAAGGGAGAGAGGTGAGAGACTATGATAGCTGGACCCCATCATTTTTTAAAAGAAAAATGCTAATTGGATTGTTACGTGTGTGGCGTATGATAAAAATTGCTTCAGATTAGGTAAGGGGGTAATTCATCCTATATTAATAGCTGAGAGTGAAAAATATATTCGGATTTTAACATGGGGTGTCTTCCAGCGCGCCTGGACGAGCGTAGCATTTCTTTCGTTAAAAACACAAGGCACTTTTTTCCATTATTTACACGCAAGTTTATTTTACATGATTTCAAGAAGAAAAAAGCACCCTCGTACGAAAATCTCGAAACTATATAGAGAGAGGAAACAAAAATTTCCCACACTTTTGTTCGTACAACTATGAAATTTATTAAACACGCACAAGTGCGACAGATCGATCAAACCATGGTCGCCCTCACGTCGCCTTCTCCTCCTGCTCCTGGGCCTCCTGGTGCTTGGCGTCCGCGTCAACGTCGACCACCTGGGCCGGCGCCGCGGCGGCGGCGCCGAGGTTGGAGGCGTTTTGGCGGTGGTGCTTGCACCGGAAGGAGCCCGGGTGCGTGGTGGGCGCGCACACGCACGCCTGGGCGCCGCCGCCGCCGGCCCTCCCGCCGCCGCCGTAGCTCGAGAGCGAGTCGTTGGACCACGACTTCCTGATGCACCCCAGCTGCCCGACCGCCCGCGCCGTCGGCGACGACGCCTGCCCGTACCGGTACGCGCGCCGCTCTCTCTCCGTCATCACCGGGCTTCCCCCGTTCATCGCTGCGGATCAAAGGTGTATCTGAAGGCGGAGACCGCTGAAGATTTGGAAGAAGCCGCAAGGAAAAATCTCGCTATTTGTAGGCGCGGAAATGGCGTGGGCGTATGGCACGTCGGCTACTCGATTCAACGCCGCCGCTTCTTCGGACCTTCCAGGCAGCACGATAGCTTGCTAGCTGGGCTCGAGAGGTCTTAATAAGCTTTGCTAATTAGCCTACCACCTGCGTAATGCTTTTGTCAGTGGTGGCTAAGAAAGGCAAGTTGTACCGGATAATTCCTCTGTTTTATATTATAAGTCATACGATTTTTTCTTAGTTCAAGACACTGTTCAGATTGATATTATTTTCAACCATAACATTTTTTTTCGTCAAAGTTGCCAAAAAAAGTTCTATGTCTAGTTTGTTATCAAATTTATAAATATATAAAAAATCCTGCCAAAATTTTGACAATATTATTAACTTGCTAATACCAAAATTTGGTAAGGTTTATTTTGGCTACAATATCAACAGGTCCCAAGTTCCTTAAGTTGATCAAATTTATAAAAAAATTATCATCATCTACGACAAAAGATTATTTCTATTAAATATATTTTAATAATACATTATTTTGTATTAAAAATATTAGTATACCATTTATAAATTTGATTAAATTTAAAGAAAAAAAACTAGGAGTATTAATTAATAATAATGGCTTACTTGACCATTAGCAGCCAGTAGTACCGTGAGAAACTTCTACCATATCCGGGCCCAGTTTAAGTTATTAAATAACCCGAGAAAAAGAAAGGTTGGTTCTAAATTTCTAAGGGCAAGACCAACGTTTATGCCACCGTGAGTAATAGGAGTGGGGTCCACTAGAAAGAGCCACAACTATATCCATATGTATCATGCTTATGACTAGGGGTGTGTTTAGTTCCACGTCAAAATTGAAAGTTTAAATAAATTAGAACGATGCGACGGAAAAGTTAGAAATTTGTGTGTAGGAAAGTTCGATGTGAAGAAAAAGTTAAAAGTTTGAAGAAAAAAAGTTGGAATCTAAACAGGGCCTAGGTAAGAAAATAAAGTGGGCCCCGCTGGGTCCCACCAAAAGAAAGAAAATGGCAAAAGGTCCCGCATGGCAGCCAAATGATTACAAATAAACAATTCAATGCAATGTTGTATTTTATTAGTATGAATAGCAAATCCTATATTTTATTGTCTTGTGGCCATACCTTAAGCTTAGTTTTATTGTCTTGTGACCATACCTTAAGCTTAGGGTGGTGCATTTTAGTTTGGTGATGCTTATAGTGCATCTCTACAATGGCAAAGGTACAAAACTTAGTAGCATTAAATGTTTAATGCTGCCTTTTTTTTCAACATTGTAGATGCCCTAATAACATTAGCATATCCATACTTCAGGCTGCATTCTAAACAAGCCTACTTTATTTTTTTTCCTTATCAACGTGATTTCCAAATAACTAAGTGGTATATTTTACATGAAAGTTTTCTATACGAAAGTTTTTTCTTTTAAAAAATAAAATTTATTTTTAAATTTTATAATAATTACTCAATTAGGCATGCTATATGTTAATGGTTCACCTTATATGGTGTGCCGCCTTAAATCCCAACCCATCCTCCGCTCCGAGTCAACTGAAGTTTGTTTGTTGACCAACTTCATGGCGGTTTCTGTTTATTTGACCCATATTTTATCCATGTGGAAGAATCATCAATTTTGACATTACGTAATTCTTTGGGCCCTGAGTCCCTCGTGGTTTATCTGAAATTTTCTGGTCGATCTGTTCCAATCACTGAAAGATTAACCATGATATCTAATCTACTTTGCCTTCATATTTCAAGGAAGGGAATAAACACTACTACAAAATAGGTTTTTTCTGGCATTACATCTTTTTTCTCCAATGGATAAAATTTGAAACGCTTGTAAAAAATAACCGAAGGCTTATGGTTAATGACCGCTTATGAAAATCTATTATCACTAGCACTTGTTTTTAAAACAACCGTCGGTAAAAATAGCCCTAATTTCATTAGTGGTCTTCTTGGACAACTGCTTCTGAAAATAAATTTCGCAAATGTTCTCCTGCATAGCCACCTGGAAAAGAAATACTTTGCACTATAAAATAACCATCTCTCCGCACCTTATTCTTAGTAGTTCACTCCCCACCACTCACTCCTTCACTCCCATCTTCTCTCCCCATTTATCCCCACAGGCGGCAGCTATGTCGCACCACCAGCGGTGGAGATCAAGCGCCTATCGTGGGCGGTGGGGTTATGCGAACCACTGTATGAGCACGAGTGCGGCTGCAGAGGGGCGAGCAACCAACTAACCACCACTACCACCCGCTGCTTCGTCTCCTCATCCCCCTCCCTCACCACCGCCTCCTCCTCCTCCTCGACAGTGACTGGACTTCCAGAACCGATGGCTTCACCGCCAGATCTGGCGCTGACAGTTGCGAGGCCTAGTACGAGGATTCCCACATCTGGTGGCTCCCCCATCGGATCTAGTGGTGGCAAGCATCAGCTGCTGCTCGGTCGGCGATAGCGACGATAACCTCCTTTCTCTCTCCTAGCCAGATCTGAGGTGTAGCCCCGACCTTCGTCTGCATAGGCACGAGCCTTGAGGAGCACGCCGTCGATTGTGTCATGTTTTTGCGGTGTCTTATTTTGCCAAAAGGGTAAAGCAAGCCTTAAACTTCGGCGCAATCTGAATATAGATGTCACTAGAAAATCAGCGCGCCAGTTGGCGCGCATGATTTATAGTCCGTATATATTATTTTTGTGTTATTAATTAGCACATTGTTCATAAAAAAATATAGAAATCAATTTAATTTCTTTGAAACTCATGCAAAAATCATAGTTGAATGGAATTTTCTGTGTTCCAGTTTAACATAACAGATCATATTGTTGAGAAAATCATCAAATTTTCTCTTTTTTTCCACCCATGCTATTGTTTCTTCCTTTGTTTTTCTAAAATTATAATTAAGTTATTAACTCATTATAAAATTGGTGTTGGTATTTTTTTTAAAAAAAACAAAGTGTTTCACCCCTCACATTATTTCTACAATATTTTAACAAATATACATGTCATCACATTATTTCTACAATATTTTAACAAATATACATACCATTTTTATAATATTTAACATATACTTATCAATATGCTCCACATTAAATTACGGGTATCATTTGTTTATTTTATGATAAGTTCTGATAAAACTTCACGTTTCATTATTTTCTATTCTTTTTACTCTTAGTTTACTTGTTGAAAAAAATATATTAAAAATTGTTTAGCGATCCCGTAGCAAAGCATGGAGAATCACCTAGTAATAGAAAGTGGAAGGGCCTTGAATCTTCGATGATTCGTCCCCTTCACCGCTCATCGCCATCGCGGCCCGCCATGTCTCAGCGTCACTAGAGATCGTGGCCCCGGGTCCGATGGGTTAAAGGATGCTGGATCTGGTGGCTTAGAGAATTGGTCGTTGGATCCTGGCATTGGAGCTTTACTTGCCGTGTCAGTGCTGGGAGAAAGGCGATGGCCATTGGGGAAGACGACACTTGCGAGAACAAGGATTGCCGCGTCGGTGCTGAGAGAAAGGCGATGGCCATTGAGGAAGACGACACTTGCGAGAACAAGGATTTCCGTGTCGGTGCTAGGAGAAAGGCGACAACCGTTGGGGAAAATGGCGCTTGCGAGAACAAGGATTGTCGCGTCGGTGCTGGGAGAAAGGCATCAGCCGTTGAGGAAGACAACGCTTGCGAGAACAAGGAGAAGAGGAGGAAGATGATGGTAGCGAAGGCAAGATCGCCCTCGTCCCTTGATTGTCCAAAGCTGGGTATCCTCATTGAGCCCTTCTTCATCCCTCTCTCTTCTTCCTCCTGGATGTGGTCGAGCTTGGGGTCGTGGTCATTGCTACCGTGGATGGCGAGGACGTGCTCGACCTCGATGCTCGTTGGCTGGTTGGCGCGTCCACACTCGCGGACTATCACAGCTAGTACGGCTCGACGCCCTCCGCTTGCTCCATTGAGTGAGTGGATCTTGCTCGTTGGCAACAGCTTCCGTGGATCCGGAAAATATTGCGGTAAATGTCTTCCTCGTTGCCGGTTTACGACAGCTAACATCGGCTCGCTGTTTATATTTTTTTGGGAATTGCTAAAAAGTTGTCACAAGTTTTTTGGCAAAAAAAACTTTTAAATGTTACTATAGTATAGTTGTAGTATAACTACAATGTAACTACACTATAGTTACATTGTACACAATAGTGTAACTACTTTAACTATATTGTAATCTCTATATAAGTGATATAAAGTTGCATATAGTATTTTAATACTTATATACAAGTTACAATATTGTTATGGTATAGTTATAGTGGAATTATATTATAGTTAGATTTAAAAGTTGTTCCTTTAAAAAACTTGTGGCAGTTTTTTGGATACTATTTTTTTCTTATCCATTGTTTCCTCGGCATGCAATCTTTTTCACTAATTCTTTTCGTGTTATCATGTGATTTTTTTCAACCGAGTTTAGAATGCTCTGGATTTTTTCCTTTGTTTTATCTAGACTCTTCACACACGTTCAAAATGAACGTGCTCTTCTGGACACGTGGCATATTTTGATGATATGTGAACTTGGTTTTTGGTTTGGCCACGTGGCCTAATGATTTAGTAGAGTTTGCACCCTGCAATCGGTATTTTAGATTTAACCAAAATGGGCATGGCATGAGCCGCATGACCCAAAATTGTAAGGGCAGAATAGTAAATTGACGTGGAAAACGAGGGTTTGCGTCTCTGGTGTGCCTTTTATCCACATAAGAACACTCGCGGCGGCGACCACTTGTGCTCGGGGAAGTTCGATCGATCCCTCACCATGGCGTCGGAGAAGGAGGCGGCGCTCGCCGCCGTGCCCAACGACAACCCCACCATGTGAGCACCTCTCTCTCTCCTGCCGCAAAACCCGCTCTGATTTGTAGGCAGTGTAGTACTCGTGTGTGCTTCTTGATCTCATGGATTGGCAGATTGCGGCATCACTAGTTTATCATGGCCTAGTACGCTGGGAGATCATTGATTCGAACACCTCCCTGTCTCTTTAAACCGAACTTGAGCGAGCGTTTGCAGAAGTAATTCGTGTAGATGGAATTGCTGGATTCATGTGATTAGGGTCCTTTACTAATTATTACTACTGGAAATGAGGCACACCACAAATAAGAGCTTGGCGCAAATACGAAATGGGGCTATTGAGCTGTACAATAGTGCAAGCATGATTGTTAATTAAATTTTTCACTAGCTTGCGTACCAATCTGTACTGTAGCCTGCTTTGGTTTTTACTCCATAAGTTATGGCCCAGTTTTTTTTTTTCCTTCTAAGTAAGTGGCATCTGTCTCTGCTTACCCCAGTCAGGTTTATGACATCATTTTGAGGAATTTATTTGACCATTTCTCTAATAGCCAAATACCAATCCTACTTGTGTCACTGAAACACTCGTTTAACGGATTAATATTATGAAGTGAGCCCTGAATGCCTGAACATTAAAGCAGTAGGCAAATCGTCTGATACCCTTTTCATTAAATTTAAAATGTCTGACAAACAACTATAATACATCTCCACAGCGCATTGGAACTCAATAGTCAAGTTAAGCATTGATCAGTGGTTCATTTGTTGCCAAAAGAGCATGCTGTTTGCAGTTTGCTTGATGGTAGTCAAGTGTAAGTTTTTCCTTGTAATCAAGATTAAGTTTCTGAAGATGTCAAATTATTGATTTAGAATGTGGTGAAGTTTTACATTCTGCACAGAAAAGTGTGCAATTGAATTGATTTCTGAAATTTGTTGCATCTGCAGATTTGACAAGATCATCAAGAAGGAAATACCTTCCACTGTGGTATTTGACGATGAGAAGGTACTACTGCTTAGTTTCTTTTCTCTATTTTTTAGATAATGGATTAAAAACCCGGCCTCTACATCCAACGGGATGTACACAGCCAACCAAGTTCATACATGAGCATTGAAACTCCACCCATTACATGGGTAACAAAAACAAAATAACTTGGACCACAAAAGGTGTCAAGAACAACCAACAAAAACAGAAAACCACCATCCAGGCACACCACATCAAACAGACACGAGGTGCCAACCTAATCTTGAATTCTCCTTCTGAAGTTCCAGCCATAGTTGGAGTAGAACTCTAAAACTCTCATCTCTAACATTTTGCAGTATTCTTTCACCAAAGTGCCATCCTCTTCCTTAAGCAACAAGGACCAAAGTCTTGCCCAATATGTCCCCCTGAAAATCACCTGCAAAAAGAAGTAAGCATTTGATCCATTAAAGACCACATCATTTCTACTCAACCACACCGCCCAGCACAACGCCGCTATGCCCACAAAAACTCGATATTTTAGCCTAGGATTAACACCATTTAGCCAACTACCAAGAAGATGAGACATATTGAGCGGTGGACGAATGCCAAAGGTAAAATGAACCGCACTCCAAATATATCTTATCATAGGACAATCAAAAAACAGGTGTTGTATTGTCTCATTAGATCTACAAAAGCAACACCTAAGGCTACCTTTCCACCTCCTCTTTGCTAAGTTATCCTTGGTTAAAATGACTCCCTCTTTCAAATACCACAAGAAAATTTTTATCTTCAAAGGAAGTCTTAGCTTCCAAATAAAAGATTTCCTCGGTATTACATTACCATACATGAGCTTTTTGTACATCGAATTGACCGTGAAAGTTCCATTTTTGTTAGCCTCCCAAAAAAACACATCCTTTTGCCCCTTTAAGCTTAAGTCAACCACGTTAGCTACAATCTCATGCCAAGCATGGAGATTGTCTCCCACTATGGCCCTCCTAAAGGAAACGTTCAAAGGTACCCTTCCAACTACCTTGGCCACCACCTCATTTTTATTCCTTACAAGATTATACAAAGAAGGGTATTTCTTATCTAAAGACTGATTCCCGAGCCAACGGTCTTCCCAGAATCTCACTTGTGAGCCATCATGCAATTTAAATGAACCAAAAGAACGAAAGGTATCCTTAACCCCCATTAGTCCTGCCCAGAAGTGAGAGTCCCCCCTTCGCTTCTGCACTTGCATAATGGTTTTACTAGAAAGATATTTTCTTCTCAACAAATTCTGCCAGACCCCCTCCTCATTGATCAGCTTGTATAACCACTTACTCAACAAGCATTTATTCTGAATCTCAAGATTTTGTATCCCTAAACCCCCGCACTCCTTGGGTTTACACAACACACTCCATCTGGTCAATCTGTACTTCTTTTTGTGCTCATCACTTTGCCAAAAAAACCTAGACCTAAAAAAGTCCAGTTTCTTAAGGATGCCTTTATGCACCTCAAAGAAGGAAAGCATGTACATCGCAAGGCTACTCAAAACCGAGTTGATGAGTACTAGCCGGCCTCCCACTGATAAGAACTTGCCCTTCCAACTACTTAGCTTTTTTTGGAACCTTTCTTCTATTTCCCACTGAGTTTCTTTTCTCTATACCCAGTTAGACTGAAAATTGCTTGATTGTGCTTTGTTTTGGAATCAGGAGCAGTTGAATAAATTGTTGATACCATTGTTATATTTGCAACTATGAGTAGGATAAGGAACTTTTGAGGGCATAATCAACTTAGTGGTCTGTTATAATTGTTTTAATCGTTACTACTGGAGTCTATGGTCGTGAAGACAAGTCATCATCTATATAAAGGATGCACTTTGTACTAGTTCTGGTTAAGAGACAGATTGATCTGTTTCCCCATCCCTTCTCTACTTAACATACCAGTTCGCCTTGTCCTCCATAATGCCAGAAACTGCTTAGGCCGGACACCTTTGTCATGGCAGTCACCTCCTTGACGCAAACCAATAATGTCTAGGAGACCACACCCTTCACATGAATCTGTCATATGCTCACTACGGTATGACGGAGCACTCTGTACGGAGAGATTAGCTATATCCTTACCTAGGTCATTCTCACGGGTGCCAGAAATGTCGAATACATAGTTCTCTCTCACTAGGTACTAAAGTACTGCAATACAAGTCTCCAGTTTCCAACTCCTAAGGCCCAAGTAAACTGGATGCCTGTCGTTCTACTGTTATTGCATTGAAATGACTAAATCCTAGAACTGCAACAGTTCATTACTCTTATGTTTTGGATCAAACACTTTTGTTCATATTTCTTAATTCTCCAATGTGAATTTGTTTTGGGCATGAACTGTGAGTTTGTTTCCCAGGTTCTGGCTTTCAGAGACATAAATCCTCAAGCTCCGACCCACATTGTGATCATTCCCAAAGTGAAGGATGGATTAACTGGCCTATCAAAGGTAGCATTTAACACTCATCTATTATCACAATTTATGTTCCAGTTTATGTCAACCTTTCTCTTCATATGTAGTCGATTTATAGTTTACCTAAATTTACTAACCCTTTCGTGATTTCAAATTTGCCCATTTCTCATTTGTCCTTGCCCTCCCTTGTGGGCCTAGGAGCAATTAGCTGTGTAATCCAACCTGCTGACTCCTTACCCAAATAGAGAATATATAAATGTCATTTTGGTCATGTTGGGTAGATGAATGTGATTACTGTTATGGACTGCCTTTGGCCTCACTAATGCAGGCGCCATGAGTTGGTGCATGCATGTGGGAGATTGCCTAAGCATGAATGATGAGTAAGGCTTTCTTGTCACTCACTGCATTCTTACCTCGGAATGCACCCACATGCCACAAATTACCAAGCCCGTAAAAAACTGACATGGACTCATGTTGAGTGACAAGTAAACGTTAACAAGAGTAACAAGTAAAATGAATAAAGTATCTTCGAAACTAAATGCATTTCATGTTTCCCATCTTCACAGGCAGAAGAGAGGCATGTAGAAATACTCGGTTACCTCCTCTATGTTGCCAAAGTTGTTGCAAAGCAGGAGGGACTTGAAGATGGCTACCGTATTGTCATCAATGATGGCCCCAGTGGATGTACGTCTCATTTCAGTCTTCTTATACATTAGAACCTATATTTGGTAGACCATTCATCTTCAGTCACCTGATATCTTTATTTGCAGGCCAATCTGTTTACCACATACATGTACATCTCCTCGGAGGCAGGCAGATGAACTGGCCGCCGGGCTAACGAGTGCCCGTCTGTTGAACTGCCTTCATGGCAAGGATGTCACACTGCCTCTCCGTTGAATAATTCCTGTAACTGGCATAACAATTGGTGCCCTGAACTTATGCTATATGTTTGTGGATGTTACCAGGACAGGACATGACCATCCTGCTATGATTTATGGACAAGATACATTGCGTTCTCACTAGTTATTACTGCTTTTTTTTTCCATGTTGAATACTTGCTGTTGCCTGCATTGCTTCTGCATGATGCGTCTGTATTTCAAGAGCAGTGCAGTGAAAGATGATCTTCAGATGGAGTTGATAAACCTATCTCGAATTCAATGTCTTGACTCTTGAGCGAAGAATACGGTCACATGCATATTTGGTCGTGTCATCGCTTGGTTAAATATTTTGGTAACAGATAAGTAGCTAATTCTATTGAATTGAGTCTACCAGTTAAGCACCTGACTGTTCTTCCCCCTCTGCTTTTCCTTAGATATTGCACTTACCAACATTTCTCGGCTGAAATTCGGAAAACAAAATCCTATGTGTACTAGAATGAATTTCAGGTGAAACGGTTAGATTACCGCACGACACATAAATTTTGCACTTCGTAAACGGGCCATAAGATGGAGGCAGAAAACGAGGCCCAAAAGGAAGATATTTTTGCCGGTTCGGTTTGCGAGGGACGGCTCCTCCAAACATCGCTTGGTTTTGAGACCAGGAAGAAACGGAGGAGAGGCCTCGGCTAATCGGCTTATAGCCAGCCGCAGCCGAGCGAACAGCTTTGCTCGGAATCGCCATGGCTATGGGGCTCCCCGGCCTCCGCTGCTGCCGCGGCCTCGACGCCGCGGCCGCGCGCCCTCTTCTCGGCCCCGCCCGCGCCCGCGCCTCCCCGCGCGCCTCCGCTCTCCGCTACTCCTCCCTCCAAGGTAGTAGCAGTCGACTTCTAGCTCGCGGCCAGTGTTCTCGGAACAAATTCGGGGTTTATTTTTTTTCTGGTTTGGCTGGTGCTGATTCCATGAGTTCTGCTTCTGATGCTAGCAGCTGGGGACAGCCTCGGGGAGGAGGTCCTGCGGATGTTCCTCGCGGAGAGGCAGGCGCACGGCGACTTCGTCACCAAGATCTCCGACATGGTCTGGAGGAGGAACGGCGGCGACCTCGGCGTGCTAGAGGCGGCGGCGGAACAAGAAAATTCAGCGGATGTCGCACCACCGCAACCTGAAGAAGCTGTAAGATGTATAGTACCAATTCAAAGTGTTTTGTCTGGTGTAATTTTTGCAGAGCAACACTGAGAATCATCCGGTTGTACAGGATGTCATGGGCGAGGGAATGTTGAGGATTGCGGCGACGAGAGATTGGGTCTCCGGTGAGAGCAGCCTTCCTGTCAGCAAGAGGCTTTCTGCCAAGGTCTTGTGTCTGTCATGGTGTTCTGGGTTTGCTGCTCAATTGTTCATTGTTTTGGCTAGTGGCCATCTTTTTTGTGGAAGCAATTTGTAGAGAAATGTTAATGCTGTTGCAAACGATGACAGGATCGGCAGGATGAGAGGGAAAGAAGGAAGGAACTCAACCTTCTAAGATATGAAGCAGTAGGTTTTCGTTTCAGCTCTCCTGTGCTTCTTTTTTCTGATGAATTATTTTCAGTGAAGCTTTTGCATCCCATAACTGATGGTCATCAATCATAATCTCTCTCAGCTTAAGGATGAACTATTGCTCCTGACCACAGGAATTGGAGCTGCGTGCAGTTTATACTGTCTCCTAGTCTTTTCTCTGGAGGTAAATAGATTTTTCAAATTTATAATTGGCATCAAATTAGACATTACTCTTTGCCGACGTTAAAACGACTAAGTAGTTTCGAGTTATTGTGGTAGTGTGAGTCAACATTAAGCCATCTCCTGTTCCACTAACTTCATAACCAACCGATATGAAACAGAATCAAAGTTATCTCCTGAGCTCAAATGGCTTAACTCTATCTATAATTTTGCTGATTGTGACTGAATCTGTAACGCTCCAATTGAACAGGCTGCTGTCAGTTATGCTTTTGGAGTTGCTTTCAGGTAAGCTCAATTTGCTTCCTATTGAACTTAAGAACTCAGAAGTTTGTGGTACCTTGTTTCAATATAATGTCGCTGGGGCTACTCTCTCAACAGACTGGGTTAACTTCTATTGCAACTATCAACGATAAAAAATAATCTAACCAGTCACATTATGTTGAACAGTTGCTTGTATCTTCAACTTCTCTATCGGCACACAGATAATTTGTCAAAGAAAGATGTTCCAGAAATTTTTATGAAGAAGAAAGTGAAAAGGTAGGTTTGAAAATGTTAATCATTTTTTATTATCAATCTTTTGCCCTCACTTTGTCATTAATTGTCCCTATATATGTGACAATGCTAGAATCGGCATAAGAAGCGAGGATTTGAAGAATACAATAGAGAAGGTGTTGGGTGGTATTTCAGTAGCTCTTTCGTCTCCAAGGCTTGTGATACCCGCTATATTTTTTGGATTGTCAACCTTGTCAGATCACTTTCAAAATAGCATTTTAAATTTTGAGGTATAAGCACAGCTCTGAGCTATTGCAGTGCATATATCAGATTCAACTCCATCTTATGAATTACACGCATTTCATTTATCTCCCTTGTTAACTGTGACAATTATGTAGCAAGGGTTATTATCCTGAACTTTGTTAGCTAAATTGCCCTAACATGTCCTGAGCAACTGTTTCTCCTCCTTATACAGCTTGTTCCAGGAATGATGGGTTTCTTTGCATACAAGGCTGCCGCTTTGGTACAAGTCTACAGGGACAATGAGGACCTTAGATTGATACTGCCTGAAGAAGATGCTGACAGCAGTTGATGTATCAGTAGTGAAGACTTATGTTAATCCAGTTCCTTTATAAATCAAGATAAGAATGATGTATAGATCATATCTCAGCTTTGAATTGAATAAAGTTTCTGTTATTTTTCTTCAGCAAAACAAAACTATCCTGAATTTTGTCTGCTTTGTCTACACTCCCAAGGTGTGCGAAAAATAGTTGGAGTATGATTTTGGACTAGCATTGCCATTTTCCCATTTTGAATACGGTAACATTACAGTTTATCTGGGGCACTCTTGCAATCACAGGCTACAGAAAGCATTGCACCAGCGGGAGGAAAGCTAGGCTGCGGCTGCATAAACCACAAGTTAGGAGTACAACACTCTTGCAACAGCACCCAACAATCTGGAGACTGCAGAGAAAAGGGTGTTCTTACTAGCTAAGTAATTTTCAACATGGCAGTTACAGCTTGAACCACCTTTAATTCCAGGGCAGCTTACTTCTACTATTAACATGATTCAGAAGTCGGCCGAGTTAACCCGCCGGAGCTGATTCTTTGGCTCCTGTTGCGGCACATACTGCACTACCGGTTCAGGTGCCTGTAGCAAGCATAAAAACACCGTCAGTTTGCAAACAGTAAACCATCAGTGTCACTATTGGGCATCGAACTATGAAAAGAAATCTCCACTGTTGAAGCAGATCTCAAAGAGCAAATGCCTACTAGTTCATCGTTCTCTGAGAAGTCAAAAAGAACACAGTTCACTAGTCCAGCTCGCAAACGGAGCTTTGTTACTTTCCACGTACTGCAAGTCTGAATCTGCTGCATGCTGCATGCATGCAGTTTACAGACTGCGCTGCATGTGGGTAAACAAAGCAGTGCTACTATTGCCTTAAGTACGACTTTACGCCCGGAAAAAAAAAAGAGAAAACATACAAACAAAAAGATCGTTTCGGACTATGTTTAGTTCACACTAAAATTGGAAGTTTTGTTAAAATTAAAACGATGCGACGGAAAAGTTGGAAGTTTATGTGTGTAGAAAAGTTTTAATGTGATGAAAAAGTTAGAAGTTTGAAGAATTATTTTGGAACTAAACACGGCCTCAATTTGTGTTTTCTAAACGTACGCACCCTTTCGAATTTAACTAAGTTTATCTGTTGCTGAACGTTTCATATCCGAGCAATATCAATTTAGGACAATGAGGCAAGCGTTTCATACTCCCAGTCTCCCAGATGCAAAGTATAGGACATAAATCTCGTCTTTCGGAGAAGTTGCCACTTGCAACGTTACATACTGTCTTCAGATTTCTTGACATGGGCATAGGAAGGCGTATAAACAAGTGAAAGAAAACCACTAAACTATGAGAGAGGTGCAGTTCGAGATAGATGTGCAGACTTTGTTAGCACATGGATAGTGGTAGAATTTTCACACTAACCTGAAAAGGATGGCCCAATATTATTTATTGACATGAAGTTCCATCATCCTAGTATCATGCTGATGCATGCCAATGGAGGAACTCGAGCTGACATACGATGTAATAAACTTCTCTAAACCCCTAGTTTAGTCCATCCTTATGTTAAAGAGCTTATACTAAAGAACACCAACTTTTAGTCAAGTGGAATACAGAAAGAGTGTCTGTCCGACAAACACACGATAGGCATTGTGAAAGAAATGGTTGGGCACCAATTGTAGAGTGATCAACTCATCATCAAGCAAAGGCAGCATTGTAGAGCACAACTATTTTCGGATGATATTTTGAAAAATCGAGTATATAGTTATCGGAATTGCTAACAGTTTGTTGACAGAAAATTGATGGTTAAATCTCAGTTTCTAAACCGTTGGATGTGTTTGAGATTCCTGTTAGCCGTTTGATACACATCAAGATTTGTGCTTCTAAGAAAAAAAAGTAAAAAAGCACGGTACTGGGTGGGATAATTTGGGATCGATCCTGTGACAATGCGGGCACGTGACTACCCCTCCCCGCGGGCCTACCCATGACTTCACACAAATTTACATCCTATTTTTATTGTAACTGCATGTTAGTTACATATGTAGGGTGCCATCGTTTGGCATATTGGTGGAATAAGACAAACGACATATTTGCAAACGAAAAATAATTTGTGAATAAAACATATATATATATATATATATATATATATATATGTTCTTAGCGATCTAAAAGCAAAGGCTAAAAAATAAACTTCGATGAAAAAACCCTAAAATCAGCTCTAAATTTAACGTTGAAAATTTAATTTTTGGTTGATAAGCATATGAATATGCCAAACGATGAGGACCGTAATTAGAATACAAATATATTATAATTATTAAAATTATATTGTAATTGTATTGTATTTACATTTGACAGATTTTTAGAATAATTCTCAATCAAATGTTAGACTACTATATAGCTAGTCCCTATAGTTATTAACCAGAGGAAAAGAGAGAAATTTTCCTTTGTGCAAGATGCAACAGAGGACAAGACGGAACACCATTTGATTGGACAGAACTGTATCGTCCGTGCATCGCCAGACGTCCTCTCATAACCACTTCAGAGCGAGGCCAATCACGCAGAGACAACGAAATAAAACAAAAGGCTAGGGGGTGTTTAGATGGGACTAAAACTTTTTAGCCCATGTCACATAGGATGTTTGGACGCTAATTAAGAGTATTAAATATAGACTAATAAAAAAACTAATTTTATAAATGAGAGCTAATCCGTGAGACGAATTTTTTAAGCCTAATTAATCTATAATTATCAAAAGTTTACTGTAGCATCACATTGTCAAAATCATGTCGTAATTAGACCTAAAAAAATCGTCTCGAGAATTAGTCCAAGCTTATGGAATGAGTTTTGTAATTAGTGGATGTTTAATACTCTAAATTAGTGTCCAAACATCCGATGTGACAGGGGCTTGGAATAAATCCCTGTAAACCAAACAGCGAGCGTACGGGGGTGTTTCAGTTGAAGGCAGGCAGTTATAGTTTCTGAATGCTTGATTTGCTAGCACAACTACGATCTGTTGCAATTTCTTTTTCTCAAGCTTGCATCATCATGCTAGAAAAGAATTGTGCCAAGACCTGCCTAAAGAGAACTCAAGTAGACTTAAGGTGAAACCAAACAAGAATATGGTAATCATAAAAGTATCAATTCTCTAAGCACGTACTATACTAGATATGTTGCATTTTGTCCCTTAGAATGGAATTAGAGTGGCAATCCTGGCTCCACCGCTGAAAACAACCCGGTTGTTTGTTCCAACCAAATAGATGGTAGACCCCATTTATACATCATTGTATGGTGGCCCCAAAAATCTTAGCACATTAGCAATGAATTGGCCTGAGTGACCTACTACATGCGACAGTGTCTTAATTTGTCCCATACTAGAAATCCAAATGAGTTTAGAAAGCAAAAGAACACCCAAAATAACAAAGGCTAGAAACTCCATCCTATAATACCGCTAGTATGTGACAAATCCTTAAGGTTCCTGAAAGTGATGAACAAAAACAGGCTTGGACACCTGATTTGGCACACGAGCAGGAAAGTTCATGCAATATTTTTAGATAATGGAGTTCAAGTTCATGGATATTTCTGGGCATGCTGCGGTTGAGTAGTGGAGTGTTGATAATTTCATATTTTCATATGATGAATCGAAGCATACCTTGTGCATCCTGAGCCGCTTGTTCTCCTCCTCAAGCCGCGAGATCTTGTTCTCCAGCTCGTTCGTGTACGCCTGCGCCGCCAACCAGAGCTTAGTGCTTGAGCGGGCGCGAGCACGATCCAATGCGCGAGAGAGATCGAGATGGTCGGTGTGAGGAGCTCACCTGCTTCCTGGCGCGCGACCTCGCTGCCGACTCGCGGTTCTTGATCATCCGCTTCTTCCGCCGCTCCACCGTCTTCTCCGCGGCGGCGCCCTCACCCGCGGCGGGGGCGCGCTTACTCCCTGACACCGGGCCGTCGTGGTACAGCGCGTCCAGCACCGGCCCGGCGCCCAGCCCGAGGGGCCGTGGCACGGGGCGCCCGACGTGGTGGTGGTGCGCGCGCGCCCAGCGCGCGCCGTCGGCGCCGCCGCCGCCGCCGCTCCCGGAGTCCGCGCCGGCCCTGGACAGGAAGTCCTCGAGCGTCATCTGGCCTGCCGCTGCCCCCGCCGGCCGCAGGAAGCCGTTGCCCGTCGCGCCCTGTATGTCCCGCCACACCTCGTCCACCGTCTTCCTCCCCGCCGCCGCCGCCCCCGCCCCCGCCCCACCGCCACCCGTACGGAGCAGGTCGTCGAGGTTCACGCCGTGCAGCTGCCCCTCCACCTCGCTCAGCGCGAGGCCGCACAGCGACCCCTGCCTCGACACGCCCCCGCTCCCTTGGTGCGACGACATTGCCTGAGCTCCCATCCACCCCACCCCCAACCCCACGCGCGCGATCACCACCACCTGCGACACACACAACCCCGAGACGCACCCCCCCCCCCCAACCCTCACGATCAAACAATCAAACACCTGACCTACGCCGCAGCAACAACAACGACAACAACCACAAACCACCCACACAAACAGAGCCCACACTGACCCTCGTCCCTCGGCGGCGGCGCATGGCAAGAAGAAGCAGAGAGGAGAGTGGAGGTGGGGAGGAGGCAAGAATTTAGGATTCCACAAAGGGGGGTGGTGCGCTTGGGCCAATGGGGGCAGACAGGAGGCGATGCCCCTCTCTCCCTCTCTCTCTCTCTCTCTCTCTCTCGCTTGGGAAGAATCCAAAAAGCGATCGACGAGGCGAGAAGCGAAAGACGAGTGCGTGCGCCTGTGCTGTGCGTCTCCGCGCGCGCGCGGTGCTGGAAAAGAAAGAAAGAAAGAGGCGCTGCCTTTCTAGCTCTGTGACCAAGGTTCGCTTTGCCTTTGCCTTTGGTGGGCAGAGGGAGAGAGAGAGGGGGGGTTTTATTCGCGGGGGAGATGGCAGCTGCAGAATCTGCACAAGAGAGACGGGGGCCAATGTGACACAAGAGATCAGGTTATTCAGGTACTCCCGCCACATCAGTCTAAGGCCCCACGTAACAGTCGCAGCGTCACTGCTCTCTCCACCGCGGTGATTTTTTTTATTTACCGCTCACGAATCTTTTTGAGTACTGGAATTCGGATAACAAACGCACTCAAACGACGAGTACTATGTTATTCCTCCCTTCCTACATCGTATAATACAAGAGATTCGGATAAGATGTAATATTTTTCAGTACTAGAATGTGTCACCTCTCTAAATTCTTTAGTAGCATGAATATGTATATACTATTTGTCCATATTTATAGTAATAAAAAATATGATATCCGGTTCTGGATTATTGTATTTTGAGACAGATGAAGTAGTTAAATTTTAAGGTTTTATAAGAATTTATTAAAAAAGGTATTGTTTGATAGCACTATAGTAAAAGCGCAGGAATTTGAGACGGAATAAAGAGAAAACATGAGGTCTGTTTTTGTAGGAGATATTTCTTTGTATTCCATATGCATTCGGAGCCATTTCTTTGTTTCAGAGAATATGAAGCTAGGGATCTTTTTCCAACTAAATTTCAATTATCCAAAATTCCTCTTTTTTTGCTGTTCTAAAAGGAACCTTTAATTTTATAGTATTTTTCATCGCAAGAAAAAGTTATAAGTGCGTTGTTATATGTTTTCGAGAATACCGAATTTGATGCACAACGGGTTGCCACAGAAGATTCAGGTCCTAGGTGTGTCTTCAGTTCCGAATCTAATACGAGTGGCTGCCTGTACTACTGCCTCCCTTTCACAATATAAGTCATTTTAGCATTTTTCATATTCATATTGATGTTAATGATCAATATGAATATAAAAAATATAGTATTTTCTATATTAATATTGATGTTAATGAATTTAGACATATATATCTATCTAGATTCATTAACATCAATATGAATGTGAAAAATGCTAGAATAACTTATATTTATATTGTGAAACGGATGAAGTAGTACTATCCAATACGAATATATGTTATGACTTTGCTTTCACTATGTAGCCGGTGTATGTTCAGAATAAACATGAAAAGATTTTAAAGCCTCAGCTGCAGCACACTGTTCATCGCTCAGAAAAGAGAACAGGAGTGGGGTTGCAGCAGTACGCCAGTACGTGCAGCGAAACATTGATAGGATGAGAGGACCCAAGTGTATTATCGATGTTTGGAGTCGGAGAATTGAGGAAGATAAAAAAAATATACCCCATAGGCATGGTGGTTGCAATCTTTCTCCTCGGAAAATATTATCCCAGCCTGCGGTCAATTTTGGGGGTGGTTGTCACCTTGTCATTACCGCGAGAAAGCGAGGTTAAAATATCGGCAGCCCGGAGACTAACCTCCATCCTCACTGCTACCGTCTCTGTGGTAATCAAGTATTCTGTGCGTCCGATGATGATATTGATAGCAAACAAGTACTAACAACCAGTCTCAACCAGAAATTGCGCCAGCACAAAATTACTAGTACTACTGCTTAGCTGGTACTGTGACGTATTGGTTGTACCCGTGCCAATCTATTACTCAATCTGTCCCACGATATAAGAGATTTTTAGTTTTTCTTTGTAACGTTTGACCAGTCGTCTTATTCATTTTTTTTTGCAAATATAAAAAATAAAAAGTTGTGCTTAAAGTACCGTAGATAATAAAGTAAAGTAAGTCACAAATAAAATAAATAATTGACGGAGCGTGGGGCTCCTCACCGGGAGACCGCGCAGGCCCCCCTTTGCCGGTTCGGCCGGGGGCGCTAAGTGAGGTTCTTCGCCCTCGATCTGAGGAACGTCAGCGGGAGAGGAAATGCACAAGACACGGGCGACGTAGACAGGTTCGGGCCGCTGAGAAGCGTAACACCCTACTCCTGTGTTCTGGTGGATCTGTGCGTGAAGGAATACAGAGAGCGGAGAGCGGGAGAGAGTTCAGGCTCTAGAACCCATTCCCCAGAGTCCCAACCCCCCTTCCTCCTTTTTATCTGATCAGGGGTCACCACATGGGCCTCTCTCTGCCTAAGAAGGGAAACATGCTTTTTACAATGAGGGCTCGTCTACAGCCGGAAGTGACCTCTGACAAGCAGAGCACACGCCTCCTGCCCCGCTCGCCCGCTTTCCCGGTGGACGCCCATTTCAACCTTCATTTAATGGCCAGCGACTTCCTTGCCATACTTGCGCTGAAGCCTGGAATGGATCTGACCGGGACTGACATACCAACTCCAGGAGTTAGCACGCCGGCTCCGGCTAGGGACGAGAGCCAGGAAACTCTCATCATTCCGACGGGACGGGGCGAGGCGTGTGACAGGCCGCCTGTTGCCACCTAACCCGCGATCTGACCGGTCTGTGACCGGTCACACACCGTGACCGGTCACGGACCGGATAAGCGTGCGCTGCGCCGAAATGCGGCGTGGCGCGCTCGTCCAACCTGCTATAAATGCGGTTAGGTGAGCCCCGTTGTGCTCACCTAACCCACACACGTGGCGCCAAAACCACAGGGGGTCGGGGCGCCCAAGCCCTCGGGGCCGAAACGGGGGCGCCCCAGCCCTCGGGGCCGAAACGGGAGCGGCCCGACCCCTCGGGGAGACAGAGGGAGGGGTGGCCACGTCACCCTCGGGCCCGACCCCCCCCCCCCCGAGGGGGTCAGGCCACGTGGGTGACCGCGGCTACCCAAGCCTCTAGTCACGATACCCCCGGCCCCATGTCACCGACAATAATAATTTCAAAAAATTTTGAATAAGACGAGTGGTCAAACGTTACAAGCAAAAACTCAAAATCCCTTATATTATGGGACGGAGGGAGTACATCAATCACTAACACGCATTTTGCTAGGTTGCCAGAATTTAGTTTTCAATTGGATTTAGGGAGGTTGACAAATTTATTGTTCGCCACATTTATCGTGTGTTTGTTAAAGGGACACACTAGCGGCTAATATGGTTGTGTGCAAATTAGATCATCAACTTATCAGCCGTAGTCAAAATTTTCAATATTAAAACTTCAATTATCTTAATAGTTTGTTCAGTATAATTTGTTTTCCAATATCTACTTACAAGTCAAAAAACACATATTTAAAAGTTTTATCCATAAATTACTATTGTTGTTAATAAGATTTAGGGATAATCAGCTATAGGCGAGCGAAACAATGGGTATGAAATGGTTTACATGCATAGTACATTTGCACATAGTGGTCATGATAACAGTTTGATAAATCATCAAAACTAGGCAGATAATAATTTATCAGTAAAAGTTTTTCTTTTTGTCCTTACGACATGGCTTTTGAAAACAAAAAAGCCAATAGTGAACTTAAATAATCTTATCATTGGATTCGTATTCTCTAATAGCCTACTTCTTCCACTCCAAATATGTATACTACCCAAAAAAAAACCAATCATACCTAGTGCGGTATAAAAAAATATATATTACTATTTACTACTAGCAATAACATCGTAGAGGATGACAATACTTTTTTTTACCGAGGCGCATGAGGCGGACGCAAAATTCAGATTGCTAGGCCATGTTTAGTTCCCACCCAAAAATTTTACACCCTGTCATATCGAACGTTTAAATATTTGCATAAAGTATTAAATATAGGCTAAAAATAACTAATTGTACAGATTATAACTAATTTGCGAGACGAATATTTTAAGCCTAATTGCTCCATGATTAGACAATGTGGTGCTACAGTACACATTTGCTAATGATGGATTAATTAGATTTAATAAATTTGTCTCGCTATTTACTGACGGATTCTATAATTAGTTTTTTTATTAGTGTCTGAACATCCCATGTGACACCTTATATAATACCCGATGTGACACGCCAAAACTTTACACCCCTAATCTAAACACCCCTTAGTTTTGTTTGTGCCGAGAAACCATATGCTTCATCCCAATTACATCTTTTTATGTATGATAATAATTGCTACTCCCTCCGTCCCAGAATATAAAGAGTTTTAGAGTTGGACACGATTATTATAAAAGTAGGAAGAATTAAATAGGAAGGGGTTGTGATTGGTTGAGAAGTGAAGGTAGGTAAGAAAAGTGAATGGTGGAGGGTTGTGATTGGTTGAGAAATGAATGTTGATGAAGAAATTGTTATATTTTGAGACAAATTCTAGGTGTTAAAAGTTATTATATTTTAGACAGAGGTATTACTTTACTTTCGATGATAGCCAATGGATTAACGTTCAAACCTCAAACCAAACAACTTGAAGCAACTCCTCGACATATAATCAGAGAGATATAAGTCCCTAACAGGTGAGATGTCCACCCCTACAGTATGGCCCCATGCGTCAGAGAGCATAGGCCTACTTCTTCTGTCCCACAAAAAATAAATCTAAACCAGGATGTGACATATTCTATTACAACAAATCTGGATAGAGATATGTTTAGATTCGTAGTACTAGGATGTATCACATCCAGTTCTAGATTGGTTTTTTATGGGACGGAGGGAGTACATCCTAATCATAGGTATTCAAGTGAATACCCACATATATTTCTTAAAAGTTTAGCTATACTACTGACTTGCTGAACTTGTAGTTGTTGTTGCCCGGTTAGTTAACCCGTGAATCTTAGCTAGTGGTGAAGCCTTAGTTCCTGTTTGGGAAGCTTGTTCTAGCTGCAGCTTTTCCCAAAAACTGCTTATGTTAGAAGCTACCCTAAACAGTCCATAGTTTCTGAGAATCTATAGTTACAGATTTTGAAAAATGAAATAAGAAGCCAGAAGCTGGGTTTCAGAGTTTTTCTAGATTCTCAGAAGCTGGCTATTAAACAGCTGCTTCTCAGAATTTAAAACTCCCTAAACAGGCCCTTAGATTCTCAGCAACGCCTTGCTTTTTTTTACAGTGATTGTTTTCTCCTATTTTCCTTTTTCTTTTGCAAGACAATTTTTTTTTGAAAAATACATCTATCATGTCTTAAAATCATGGTAAGCTAACAAGATAATTCATCTTCTACTATATTTTTCTGTACTTTATTATCTACCTAATTAAAAAAAACACACATATTTCCGTTAGTAACACAAGCGTTTATTGTTTCAATTTCATAGTGTAAATCTTGAATACCCACACTCTCAAAATCCTGCGTCCACCAATATTATTAGAGGGACAAGTTCATGTGATGTACAAACCCGTCGACAACTTACTGTGCCGATTTCTTCTTCGTCCACTCGAGTGATGAATGCAGGTTACTATCAAACTTAACATTGCAGGATTAGCTGATATAAGACAAAACCCTGTAAAACTACAATACAAACTAAGCGGCCGGCCGAATGACCCCACAGCTCTCTAATGCGTGGATTAGCTGCTCGATCAACTCAAATGACAGTTGTCACAATGGAAGGTTCAGAAAGAACTGCACCATTTAAAGATGATGATAATTGTACGTCCAAGCTACTCAGTTCCATGAATGCATCATTGATGTGCAGTTGTGCACTAACGGCTGATATTACTACAAAATTGTGTCACTAAAAAAGGATCGGTTCCACTAATCGTTTAGCACCAGTACTTGTTGCTGTGTGCATAAGCTAGCTAGTTCCACACACTGCCCTTTATTCCAAAAGGGGCAAAGACTATGAACGGAGCGAAGAGACTGTACTTGTAAATGATTTTCTGGGGACATTATACTGCAAGTGGCTAATAATATGCTTAATCTTTTGGGGGCTACATGAACTCCTTATTGGAGACCTTGATAGTAGAATGATACTACTAGATGATGATAAGCAGCTGGGATGCAAAAATAAAAGAGCAAGGTGGTGGAGACTTCAAGTTCCAACGTTCGTACTATGCGCACTCACCAAGCAGGAATCCTCCTTTTTTTTTTCTTATCTTTTTTTCTATTAGCAGGAATCCTTTTCGCAAGTGACAATATGATATGACGGTGGAAATTTCTACCTCAGTCGCAAGAATGGCTTCTTTTTAGCACATTAAATTATATAGTTCGATACTCCGATAGTATTTGAAAAGGCATTGACATGCATGGTAAATGTAAGGACCCTTTAAAACACATGATAAGAAAAATATAAGAAGAAAAAAAAATGTAGAGACTTAATTGTTGTGTTTCTTCAATTCTACCAGAATTGAAGAACACAAAAAACAGGAAAGATGCTGTTTGATTGCATCACACGAAAAAATAAATCAAACAAAGTTTCCAAGAAGTCTAACTTCTTGCTTATTTTCCCATGGAACAGGTCAGCAGATTACAATCATATGAAAATTTTTGTATCAAAAAAAATAATCTATAGGAAACAAATCCTAGAGGAAGGATTGGCAAAAGATTTTTGGAGGATTCATTTCCCTTGTATTTTTTTCCCAATAAACCCCTCTGATTCACATGAAGAAGATATGAAACTTTCCATAGAAATTGTGTTCATAGTGCCAATTCCAAAGGAAAATAAGCAAGAGATTAAACCTCTTGGAAACTTTATTGGTTCAGCTTTTCCTATGGTTTAATCAAAAAGGTCATCTTTTGTTTCATGTGTTTTTCAATTCCTGTAGAATTGAAAAACATACTACTCCAATTATTGCAATTTTTCTTGTTCATGTGTGTTTGAACTTGGCCTTACTCTATACATAATCCGCCCATCTCAAAATAAGTTTATTTTTCATCTAACCCATGTAACAATACAAACAAACATAAATAGAATATACCTACTTTATAAAAATATCAGGGCCTGTTTAGTTCGCGAAAAGAAAATTTTTGGGTGTCGCGTCGGACGTTTGACCAGATGTCAGAAGGGGTTTTCGGACACGAATGAAAAAACTAATTTCATAACTCGCCTGGAAACCGCAAGACGAATCTTTAGAGCCTAATTAATCCGTCATTAGTACATGTGGGTTACTGTAGCACTTATGGCTAACCATGGACTAATTAGGCTCAAAAGATTCGTCTCGCGATTTTCCTCCCTAACTGTGCAATTAGTTTTTTAATGTATCTATATTTAATACTCCATACATGTGTCCAAAGATTTGATGTGATGTTTTCGGGAAAAGTTTTAGGGAACTAAACATGGCCTATCAATACTCCCAATACAATTATTTTCTAGTTTCACAAACTTCATGCAATGACTACTTTATAAATGAACTTACTTTGGTACAAATGAAAGAAACTAAAAAGAAAACTTATTACGGTACGGGGAGTGATTTTTATATAATATTATTAATTGCATTCCAGATCTCCAGTACATCGTCCTTTTGTAATGGGAGGTAAAGATGCATGAGTGATGATGTTTTGTGAGTCAAATGGTGATGGAAAACAAATGTGAGTACATAGTACGGCCTACTCATGCCTAATATATACAAGTACTGAAGTAGGGTGTGTTTATATCAGGGGTGTAAATTTTTGGCGTGTCACATCGGATATACAGACACATATTTGAAAGCATTAAACATAGTCTAATAACAAAACAAATTACAGAATCCGTCTGTAAACCGCGAGACGAATTTATTAAGCCTAATTAATCCATCATTAGCAAATATTTACTGTAGCACCACATTGTCAAATCATGGCGCATTTAGACTTAAAAGATTCGTCTCGTAATTTGTGTAATTAGTTATTTTTTCGTTTATATTTAATACACCATGCATATGTCCAAACATTCGATCTGACATGGTGTAAAATTTTGCCAGAAGACCTAAACAGGCCCGTATTATATCAAAAACTCTTCGCGTTGGACGCCCGCACACCACATCGCTTAACCATTCCGACGTGGGTCTAGATTTGGCCACCGGAGAAGAGAAATAAGCCAAATCTATACCTGTAAATTTTGTGATTTTTGATATTTCAGTCTATTTTATCTTAATGTTTATTTGAGTTAAATTGAAATATTGCAATGTGTATTTTAATGGTGTTTTACATTTTTATCATCTATTCTTTGAGAATCTGTCGATGTTCAAACGGTGTAAACTTTATGTTCCATGTGTGAAACAAAAATGTTTTAATCTTTGATTCCACTATCTTTCATTATTTTAGTTATTCAAAACATTTTTTATTTAGAGATAAAACATTTTTCTCTAAATGCAAGAATGTGTTGTTCATAGAAAAACATTTTTCTCGTCTTGGTCAACACATCTTTGTCATCTTGAGCAGCGGTTGCGGACGAGGAAGGGATTGGGATCACTTGCAGTAGGAATAGCGACTGCAAGTTAAACTAATGCATGCGATTACAACCGTTCATTTTGGTGATGAATGGACCAGATCTTCAGCTACAGTACTGACGCAAAAAATACTGAACATTTCTTGCTACAGTGTTCTACAGTATCCGGGTGCATGTGAACCGTTAGATTCGGATCTAACATGTGGCAGTGGACTGCGTAAGTTATAGTGATAGTACCAACTGCACCTGATACAAATCCACGAGGAAGTGCCTCTCGATGACGACGACCCCGACGCGCCACCCGCCCGCCACATCATCACCGCCGCGCCGGGTCGGGCGGGAGGCGATCCTGCCGCCTGCGGAGAGCTGCGACGAGGCTAGGGCCGGGCGGCCTGGATACACTTCGCTTGTGGGGGGGCGAATTTCTTCGTGGGCTTTCGTCTTCACGGTCACGGCACAGCCCACGAAAGTTTGCTAACGTGTCGTGCGCCGCGTCCGCGTGACAGCAAGCAGCCGAACCGAGTCAGTCATACACTCGTAGTCGTACTCCACATTTGCCTTTGGACCGAAGGTTTCTTCTCTCCCGTTCCCGTAGCCTCTCTCCATCTCTCGCTCTCTTTCTCCTCGGTTTAAAGCTTCCTCGAGTCGCCTCCTCCGAATCCCCACAGCCCAGGCCAAAGGCAGCCTGAGCCAGGGTGGGGAGCTTCCTCTCCTCGTCTTCCTCCTCATCCTCCTGATCCCGGAAGGACCCCAGGGTACGTGACGTGCGAGCGTTCCCCTCTTTGCTTTTTTTTTTCTGGCTCCAATTTGGGCGCCGATCGAGCGGGATTTCTGCGCTCGCTCTGGCGGGATCATCGAATCGTGGTAGGCGGGGTAGGGTTTTGAAGTTTCGGGGGGAGGAACCTGTCGGGGTTGCCGCATTCCGGGAGCGGGAGGAGACTTTGGTGGCCGTGGTTGGGAATTGGGAAAGTAGTTGATTTTGTACTGGTGAGCCCCGGGTTTATGTCTTAGGTCTTGCGGAGCTCTGGCTGTGTCTGCCAAGATGTTGTTTTCAGGTTTTGCTTTATCTTGGGAATTAGGGGGGGGGGGGGGGGCATATGGAAACTTCTGAAAAATTGGAGTTTGCAAAGGTTCTGTAGAGTGGTAGATCGAAATTGGATGGACTGTTCACCTCGAAGAGAATCTGTGGTTGTCTAGTTCTCTGCAGGAGGATAAAATTGGCAATCTAAATTACTTGCTGTGAGCCTATGAGGCTTCTGGTTGGTGGCTTACACATGAGACATGAATATATAATGTGATTAATAGTAGAACATTCATAACACTGTCTTCCATTTGTGAGATGTTTGTTTTGTTAGATAACACACAATAGTTCACTTGTTATTACATTGACGATTCTTCTACGTTTTTGTTTGTGTGCCGTTTTGTTTGTTTAGATTACAAGTACTTCATGTCAATGACCAATCTAAGGAGGCGACTCCATCATGGAGATGTCGATGGAAGGAAGAATGAGCATGTTGACATATCCAGCGTAGATTCCCTTAATGAACCTTTACTAGGGAAATCTAGCTCTGATACTGGTGGATCAGAGGTCAGGCCTTTCTTATCATAGTTTTATTTACCATTGCTACTACCTTTTCGGACGAACACAACTGTAGTATATCCTTTTCTAAGGTATTGACAGAATTTTCCGCCATCTGAAGGTATATGATCCCAGAAGGCAAGACTTATGGGATGATGATAGAAAGAAGGAACAGCTACACTGGTCATTTCTTTTCTCAAATTTGATTGCGCAATGGGCACAATGGTTAGGTACTGTTCACTTGCAATTTGCAACTTTGAATAAGTTTTGTCCCACTTGACACTAGTTGGCTGCCAATCCTGTCATTGTTCATTTCTGTTTCCTGGTTTTCTAATTTTGGAGCACATGTAATGAGTTACAGATAATCCTTACTGATTATAACCTCAGTAAGCTACCCATTGACACCATCTTTCAGAGTTGATATTCTAGGTTAATGTGCCTATATTTCTCATACACAGTATGTTTATGATTTTGTCTCATACAAGCATTATTTTTTTAAAAAAAAATTGGTGATGAGTAACCATTGGTAGAATGGTAGTCAGGTTGTCGGGCTGATCTAATGCACACAGGTATAGTTCTGTTTTTGTGTCTGCCCATGCCATACTTTATATAATTGCTGGCTTGCTGCTTTAGCACGAATTCAAGAATAATGGATGCAGCTGTCATCATGTCTTAGTTCTCTTATGGAGCCTTTAGTACCTTATCTTCATTTGCTGATGTCATCATTTTCATAAGAACTGCAAAAACATTCTTGTGGGTTAGTAAACTTGACTAAACAGAATAACTGTTGTGAAGTAAGTTTGCTAATTTGGATGTCCGTGTCATATCATTGACCCTGTTTCATTTTTTGAAATCATGCAAATAAATTGTTGATGTAGCAATGTTCACTTGCATAAGAAATCGTAGCAGTGGAAGTAGTATTTTTTCCATTCTGTAAACCCATGCCTTAATTTTTTTTCTCTGATTCACTACAAGTGGTATTGTTGTGCCGTGTTGCAACTATTTCACAGATGTAACCCTTAGTGCTTTCAAGAATAAGATACTGATTCCCCTTTGCTGTTCTACGTGCAGCAAATATTATTGTTGGCTCTGGATCACTATTTGGTAGATTGTTTCCCTTTTCGTTGGACAACCAGAACAGCAGTCCAGTGTATCTTAGTCCTTTGCAGGTAATGTATTGAGAAAAGGTATAATAGACACACAGGAATTGATGTAATTCTGAACCTTAATGTATACAATTTTCTTTCAGGAAGATAGACTGAATACTTTAAGGTCTAGATTGCAAATCCCTTTCGATGGCTCCCGTGTTGAACACCAAGTATGTAAACCTATTTCAATAGCTTAGGCCTGGCTATAATGTGGCCACAAGTGACCCTCTTATTCAAGCAAGTAATTTTGCATTGTTGCTATTAGGATGCTTTGAGACAACTTTGGAGGTTAGCATACCCCAACCGTGACATTCCTCCACTGAAATCAGAACTATGGAAGGAGATGGGTTGGCAAGGCACTGATCCATCAACTGACTTCAGGTATTCCATTTATTCCATTTTCTGCTCCAGTCGAATTCAGTTACAAAGCCATCTAATGCTGATATTGTCCACGCAGGGGTGGAGGATTCATATCATTGGAGAACCTCATATTTTTCGCTAGGAACTATCCTGTAAATACCTTCTATATGATATTCTGAGAAGATTTGTTAATGCTGTTTGTTTTTGTATAATTACTCACCTATTCTGGTACAGGGTTCCTTTCAGGCGCTTCTGAACAAAGTACAAGGGCAGAGAGCAGACTGGGAGTACCCTTTTGCGGTTGCTGGGATCAACATTTCATTTATGCTGATCCAAATGCTGGATCTACAGTCAAGTAATATCTCAGTTTCCAAAAATCGTCTTTACACTATAATGGTTGGTGTGGTTCCCATTCCCCTGGTTTAACGCTCTTCGAACTGTGCAGGTGTTCCATCTTCAAAGTCAGGAGTTCGTTTTGTTGAACTGCTTGGACGAGATGAGAATGCATTTGATCACCTCTACTGCATAGCCTTTCGGCTTCTCGATGCTCAGTGGCTTGTGAAACGTGCTTCTTACATGGAGTTCAATGTAAGCCCGAGTAGGTGCATATTATGCAGTTACTGTGTGTATGTTTTAATCAATGGCATGCTTATCTGTTCGTTTTCGTGGTGCCAGGAGGTATTGAAATCTACAAGAACTCAGTTGGAGCGTGAACTAGTACTAGAGGATGTATTGGAGGTGAAGGACCTGCCGTCTTACACAATGCTGGACAAATAATCCAAATAAGTAAGGGACTGTATGTGGCATTCAAGTGAAAAAAGTTATCCGGATCTGCAACTGATTTATGTTGGCGGGGCCTTTTGTTGTCTGACCATCTGAGTGCATATTTATCTTTTCCTTGTTCAAGAGAAAAATTCAGGCCTGTGTACATAGTGTTCATTTTCTGTAACTTATGACTCGCCATTTCAAGGCAATAATAAGCATCAAGTTGATCACACTATGTAGTATGTACTACTGTTTGTGCATTGTCCCGAATCAAAGTTGTTTTTTTTTTCTTTTTTAAATGCTACACCCTTCGTTCCATATTATAAATCGTTTAACTTTCTTTTTAATCAAAGTTACTTTTTAGCATTGCTTATAGGAAAATTAGTAACATCTTCTACACCAAATTTAATATATTATTTTGATAACATGTTCATCTTTATATATATTTTTTAAAAAATACCCGTGTGTTGCAACGGGTGACAATTATTTTAATCTTATTATTGTTATTATACAGTTTAGTTAAGGTGAAATTCACTATTGGAATTCGCTTGGATATATTTCTTTCTAGAAAATCATGAGCTACAATCAGGAGTTCAATCATCTCAAGTTAGCATGCGAGTTTTTTTAAAGAGATATCTTATACAGCTCCTTCCGTATTTCTAAAAGCGTACAAATTTAAAACCCGACTCAAATACAGATGTGTAATTTCAAAATCAAACGAACTTAAAAAACCAACTCATACATGGATGACGTACCGAAATACTGGTAAAAGCATTTTCAATTTTTGTAATGGTAGAGATAGATATGTGAATGTTGACTCTATATACATGTGCAAAGTTGGCAAGGAAGGCTAGCTGACAAAGAAATGGGGGCTTTGCAAAGAAAAATATGAGATGGTAAAATTATGTATGTTCATCAGGCCTGCTTAGGCTGCGTTCGGGAACCCCTTCTCCCGGGCACGCAAAACAAAGCACGCGTTATTACATAATTAATTAAGTATTAGCTATTTTTTCAAAAATGGATTAATTTGATTTTTTAAGCAACTTTCATATAGAAACTTTTTTTAAAAAAACACGCCGTTTAGTGCGGAAAATGAGAGAGAGGGGTTGAAAACTTGAAGATAAGAACACAGCCTTAGAGCATCCACAATGGTAAAGTAATGTGCTATCTATAAAACATGTACATCTCAACAATAGACTAGATTAATAGTAAACCACTTCAATAGTATGTCTATATGGGTATCTATAGCTCTCTAATACATTGTCTCGTTTTTCTCTATAGACTATCTCTAAGTTAGTAGATAGCTCTGCTCTTTCTCTCCATTTAATCTCTTCCAAGTAGGAAAATATACTGACATAGATCTCTTGTAGATAGTTTATAGATAACTATTACGGGTGCCATTACGGGTGCCATTAGTTAGGTAGGCTGCTCGTGTGATAGGGTGTTTGGATCAGGTGGTCCAGACGGATGCGTAGTTACACCCCTATGCCTGGAAACGGATGAGGAGAGCGGCTCCGTGTATGAGTCTAAGTCCGTTAGGGACTGACCACACGATGGAAAAAGGAAAATCAGATACGGATTAGAGACACATAAATAGTTAAACTGATAGTGATTATGTGCGAGGCAGATTCGGGACACGAAGACTTACCGAGCCATTGGCAAAAACATTTTTAATTTTTATAATAGTAGAGATAGTTTCATTAAATTTAATATTAAATATATTATTTTGATAATATGTTTGTTTTTATAAAAAAAATATAAGTATATTGTTTTATAAATTTGATCAAACTAACCGAGAAAAAAAATCAAATCAAATGACTTATAATATCCAATGGGAACATTATAAACGTAAACGGAAACGGATGTGAGTCCTACTTTGCTCGGATTTTCTCACTTCGAACCGTCTGGTATTCTGGTGCGTGGCTAAACTGGCTATCTCGCTCCTTCGCATTATGCCGGCAGCAGCAGCATCGATTCGGATGGACGAATTGAGAGAGATGCTGAGCTCAATCACGTTTCACTCGGGGGCATCAGGCCATCAGCGATTGTCTTATTTTCACGTTGGTTTGTGCGGCAGAGGATGCATCACCAGACGACAGTTCACCACCACAAGTCCAAGAGCCCACGACTTCTCTATCCGTTCTCTACGAGCCGCGCCGATCGGTGGCGATTGGCGAACTTAAACGAGCACTCCCTCGCCAAAAAAAGATTCTCATGAGATTTTCAGGATTATCTAGCATTCGAAAATTTACTTTAGAAAAGCATTCTGGGAGGCTCATATATAGAGATTTGGAAACGTGCCCACGATAATATCCCAAATCCAGAACCAGAGAAAAGAACGAACATGCACACTAAACCACACGAGACATTTGAAGCAAAAGTGGTAAGCGGTAAACTGAAGGGCTTTATAAAGATTTCAGCACCACTGCACTTAGATTACCAGAAGGAACATACACGGTAGTGGAAACTTAACGAAAGCAAAATAAAAGCAGCTAGTGAAACTTGAAACACAAAGGTTAACATGCTGGGAGTTTTTTTTATTAGTCGTCCACCGCGCTCATGGGGGATCACATCTTGCCGTGGCGGTGGGCGCAGGTGGCGTCGGGGCACCCCTCGACGCACTTCTCCACGCACTTGTCCACCCGCTCCGCCGCGCGCTCCCTCGTCAGCCGGTCCTTCTCCTCGAAGTACACCGACGCCGCCTTCTCCGCCGCGCGCTCCTTCACCGCGCGCTCCTCGCCGCCGCCCAGATGCTCCTGCGTCGCCGCCGGGCTCACCGTCAGCTTCTCCTTGATCGCCCCCGTCACGTTCCCCAGCGCCCCGAGCAGGCCCTGCCCTTGCCCCCTGCATCATCAACAAAAAAAATGTGGACATTATTATCGATAGCTAGGAGCACTACGTGCTTGCGGATGGTGTTCCGGCGAGTTTACTTGTCGGTGGCGTCGTCGTGGGTGGCGGCCGTCTCCCTGGCCTTGTCGGCGGCGGTCTGGGTGGTGTCCTTGGTGGCGTCCTTGGCCTTCCTCGCCGTGTCGGCGGTGGCGTCCCTCGTCTCCTGCGCCGTCGCCTTCACGCCGTCCTTGAACTCCGTCGCCTTCTGCGCGGTGGTGTCCTTGGCGTCGCGCGTCTTCCTGGCCAGCGCGTCCTTGTACTCGCCCAGCTTGTTCTTGGTCGCCTCGGAGGCGTCGCTCGCCTTCTGCGCCACGGCGTCCTTGGTCTCCCGGGTCTTGTCGGCGGTGTAGTCCTTGTACTCGCCGAGCTTGTCACGGGAGGCGTCCGCCGTCTCGTTCGTCTTCCGCGCGACGCTGTCGTTGGTCTCGCGGGCCTTGTCGGCGGTGTAGTCCTTGTACTCGCCGAGCTTGTCCCGGGTGGCGTCCGCCGTCTGGGAGGTCTTCTCCGCGGCGGTGTCCCTCGCGCCGCCGAACGTGCGCCCGACGGCGCTCACGAACGACTTGGCGCCCTCCTGCACGCTCTCCAGGATGCCGCCGCCGCCGGCGGCGTGGTGGGCGGTGTCGGCGCCCATCGTGGCGGCGCCGCGGTCGGCGCGGGCGCGGGCGATCTCGTCCGCGGCCGACCGGGCGTCCACCTCCGCCTGCATGACGCGCTCGTCCCGCGCCCGCGCGATCTCCTCCGCCGCGCGCCGCGCGTCGGCCTCGGCCCGCGCCTCCCTCCTGTCCTGCCTCGACGCCATGGGCGCTCTGTGTAATTAAGCTTCGCCTAAGTGAACCTCTAGCTCTGTGATCAGTGGTTGCAGTGGTAAGTGTAGCTTCGCAGTGCACGAGTGAGCTCGGCACCGGCGATGGCAGAAGCGGCTATATAAGGCGGAGCGAGAGGGGACGGCGCGACACGTGCCCCGGTGAGGTGGACACGTGTGCCTCGGGTGAGTAGGCTGGGGCTAGTGACACGTACGTCGCCCGGGAGCGTGCGAATGCGTGGTAAGCGGACACGTGCCACTAGCGACGCTTTGCTTAATTTTCTCGCGTGTTCTGCTGCTGCAATGTTCTTGTCTCGGAGACTCGGATCTCGAAATTGGAATTCCAAGGACGTGTGCTCTATTATGGTCAGGAACTACGGATAGGATCATGCATCTTGTCCGTTGAAGCCAGAACAATGTTTGGTGTAGATTTCTCCTGCTGCTAGGATCCTTGTACGAATTCAGATGTCGGGACGGCCGAAGCCCAACTCCATAAGGAATAACTTCACCTAACATCCCTCGACTTTATGTCAAGTCTGTCTGAGGTCCCTAGTCCACAATATCAGAAATCTCCACCCCTAAACTACAAAACCGTGCACAAAAGATCCTGAGACAGTATAGATCTCTGGTTTCGCTAGCGTGGCTCCTAGTCAACAGAAAAATGATATGAAAAATTATGAAACCCACATGTAAAGAAAAAAATGTGGAACCCAAATCTCTTCTATCTTATATTTTCTCTTTTCTTTTCTTTCTTCTATTCTTTTCTTTTCTTTTCTCTTCTCTACTCTACTCTACTCTACCCTCCTTGGGAGGGCGTCGGCGATGAGGGAGAGGCGGCCGGTGAGCACGCAAGACCTTCGCCGTTTTGAGAGGCTCCGTCGCCGCCACCCTGAGCGCCTCGTGACAAAAGGAGGGAACAGAGCTACCGGCAACAGATGGGGAAGAGGCAAGCGACGAGCCCGGTCGAGCGGGCGGGCAAGCGGAGAGGGGGAGAGGTGGCCGGCAAGCCTTGCAGCTGGTTGCCATAAGAGCCATAGGTGATGCGGCCAGGGAACTGGAGCGGCCGACATTTCCTCCACAGAATCTCCTCCGCCGCCGCCGCCAAGGCGCCACTAGCCTCGTCATCGCTGCTACATCCCTGCCGTGAGGATCGCCTGTTCCACGACACCATCTTGGCCATGGCCGTCGTCTTGCCTTCGATGCCGCTGAGGGGGGCGAGCAGCTGCTTCCGGCTGGCACCGGTGCTGGCGCTGCCTGCTGCTTCCTTCGCCTTCGGCTACGGCAACGACGACCCACTTCTCTCTGTTGGAAATTTGGTCATAATTCGGCATATTTTAATCCAAAATAACAAGATAATAAACATGATATTTACAATGGGATTTGATCCAGTGATAGTGGTGAATATAATCAACATGAGCATGCTTAATGTAGAATAAGCATCAACAATCACATAATAACACAATGTTGACATTGCGATGAACATTAACAGTAAAACTTCTAATTGAAATAATGTAAGAAGGTTATACCCCAAGAATGGTCCTCCGCTGGAGTTTGAGGCAGTATTGCCTCCGTTGGTGTTGACGGGAGCCTCCTTCTCCTTGTATCCAGTGTTGCCATTGTCTCCAGTGTTCGACATATTGGTGAAGGTGAAGTAGATGTTGATGAACAGTGAGTAGTCGCGCTTTGCGCTCCCCAAAAACCTGATCGCCCGCCCGTCCGTGCAAACGTCGCAGCAGCGCGTGGTTTCGGAGGCCTACTCTCCCAACGTGTGTGCACACACTTGTCGGGATGGGATTACCGTAGCAGCAACAGCGTTGGAAAATGGATGAAAGTGTGTCTCACTATTCTCGTGGGAGATCAAATACATTCTCATTTTATAAGAGGAATGGAAGATGAAGAGTAAGAGTCATGGAATAGGAAGAGGAATAGAGCAACTAATTGTCATCAACTAGCCATGAACCATCCTCCACTACACCACCATCAACCAACAATCAATTAGGAGTAATTGATGTAAGTTACCAATGGAATAGGAAGAGGAATAGAGCAACTAATTGTCATCAACTAGCCATCAACCATCCTCCACTACACAACCATCAACCAACAATCAATTAGGACTAATTGATATAAGTTACCAATTCCCTAATCAAATGGATTAATTCTCAAAACTCTTCATCCCATTGATATCCCATAAAAGAATGAATACACATGAATTCCTAGCATAATGAGCCTTGGAATTTATTTGATTTAATTGATTTAAATGGATCAATTACCCAATTAAATCTAACAATCCCCACCAAATTTCAAGGCTCATGAGAATGCTCTCTATTCCATAGCAGCTTTTATATACCAGTGTTTTGGTGAAGACTGTTAAGTTGAACTTTCACCTAGAAAAGGAGCTACACCTGACCACAACTGAACAATGGACTATGCCTTGAATTGTTAGTCTTGTGCAGTTAGGTTTCACTCAATTCCATAACTGATACTAGGCAACCATTAGTATTCCCTCGGGTTGGAGCTTATAAGTCATACTCCAGGCCTTTCATGAGTATCTAGAGATCACCCAAATCTCATAGACTGTGACTAGCAGTCGAACTTATATAGGTGTGTTCCTTCTAAGATGTTCTGCAGGTCAACATCTCTGCTTAATGAAAGTCACTCGGAACACGTTGAGGCATAAGCCATCCTTCCATACAGAATAGAAGAGAAGTACATCATGAAAATGAGCCCATTTAAGGGTCTCTTCTCTCGGTTACACAATAGTTTGTTTCGCCATCCAAATTCACGGGATCTCCGATCACAATGGACAGGTTTCCACTATTGTGCAACTCTAAGTGGGTCTCAAGCCCATTTCCCTCGATGCACTGTCTATCACATTACGTGGTAGCCCCTTGGTAAACTGATCTGCCAGATTTTTAGCTGTCTGGACATAGTCCAGTGCTATCACTCCGGAGTTTTTCTGCTTTCTGACATATTTCAGTCTTTTCTTTACATGCCTAGATGACTTCATGTTGTCCTTCGAACTGTTCAACTTAATAATCACTGTTTGATTATCACAGTTCATTAGGATAGCTGGCACTGGTTTTTTTTTCAACCACCGGCAAATCCATCAGGAGTTCACGAAGCCACTCGGCCTCAATTGTGGCAGTATCTAGTGCTGTGAGTTCTGCTTCCATTGTTGACCTCGTTAAGATGGTCTGCTTGCAAGACTTCCAGGAAACAGCGCCACCTCCAAGTGTGAACACATATCCACTTGTGGCCTTTATCTCATCAGCATCAGATATCCAGTTTGAGTCACTATACCCTTCCAGTACTTTTGGGTAACCAGTATAGTGAATTCCATAGCTCATTGTACCCTTTAGATAGCGCATGACCCTTTCCAGAGCTTGCCAATGATCATCTCCCGGATTTGAAACAAACCGGCTCAGCTTGCTCACAGCAAATGAGATGTCAGGCCTCGTTGCACTAGCCAAGTACATCAATGAACCAATGATTTGGGAGTATCTCAATTGATCCCTTGCTATTCTTCGGTTTTTCCTTAATAGCACACTGGAGTCATAAGGAGTTGGAGCTGGCTTGCAGTCACTATAACCAAAGCGACTCAAAACCTTGTCCACATAGTGAGATTGCACGAGTGTAATCCCACCCTCATCTCCTCTCAGTAGCTTAATGTTAAGAATAACATCAGTCACTCCCAAATCCTTCATTTCAAAGCTTTTGGACAAAAAGTCCTTAACCTCCTCAATCACATTGAGGCTGGTTCCAAAAATCAATATGTCATCGACATATAAACACAAGATCACTCCCTCTCCCCCATCATAGCGATAGTACATACATTTGTCAGCTTCGTTCACAACAAAGCCAGCAGATGTAAGTGTTGTGTCAAACTTCTCATGCCATTGCTTAGGTGCTTGCTTAAGGCCATATAAGGATTTCAACAGTTTACACACCATTCCCTCCTGACCTTCTAGTACATATCCGTCTGGTTGATCCATATAGATCTCCTCTTCTAGCTCTCCGTTTAGGACAGCTGTCTTAACATCCATCTGATGGACGAGAAGGCCATGAGAGGCTGCCAGAGCAAGTAGTACTCGAATCGTGGTCAAGCGGGCAACTGGTGAGTATGTGTCAAAAAAATCATCGCCTTCTTTTGGGTATAACCCTTGGCCACAAGCCTTGCCTTATACTTTTCAATTGTACCACCAGGCCTAAGCTTTTTCTTGAAAACCCATTTGCATTCTACAGGCTTGCACCCATATGGACGCTCAACGACTTCCCAAGTACCATTAGACATAATTGAGTCCATCTCACTGCGTACCACTTCCTTCCAATAGTCAGCGTCAGTAGATGAATATGCCTCTTCTATGGTTCTTGGAGTGTCATCCACAAGGTATACAATGTAGTTATCTCCAAAAGACTTTGCAGTCCTTTCTCTCTTACTCTTTCGAGTTGCTACAATGTTATCCTCCTCAGGATTTTCCTCAGGCGTTTGATCATTGTGTTCTATCGGTGCAAAGTGCTCATGGGGTAAAACAGGTTCTTGACTAGACGTGCTAGGTGTATTTTTCATGGGAAATTCATTCTCAAAAAATGTGGCATCTCTGGACTCAGTAATTGTACCAACACGCATGTCGGGTACTCCAGAGTTTACTATTAGGAACCTATAGCCCACGCTGTGGATAGCATAACCAAGGAACACACAGTCTACGGTCTTTGGTCCAAGTTTACGCTTTTTGGCTATAGGTACATTTACCTTGGCCAAGCAGCCCCATGTGCGTAGGTATGAGAAATTTAATTTCTTCCTTTCCCATTCTTCGAATGGTATTACTTCCTTATGCTTCACTGGAATTTTATTCAGGACATGACAAGCAGTCAAAATTGCCTCACCCCACCATTCCTTGGAAAGTCCCGCAGTATCTAACATGGCATTCACCATCTCAGTTAGAGTGCGATTCTTTCTTTCGGCTACCCCATTTGATTGGGGTGAATAGGGAGGCGTCCTCTCATGAATAATTCCAAACTCTTCGCAAAAGGACGTAAACTCATTGGAAAAATACTCTCCACCCCTATCTGACCTCAACCGTTTGATTTTCCTTTCAAGTTGG